CATTTGAGGTCATTTATACTGCCTGCAGAAATGTAAAATACACTGTGAAGGTAGCATAACTTTTCGTGGTACAGCACTTTAGCCTGTGATTCAGATATGAACTTTGCAAATTTTTAAAATTTATGCTTAATCAAATTACATGGTACATTTTGGCATCGCTTCTTGAAAAATAATGGTAGGTTGTAACATTCCAGGGCCAGAAATGGGCCTTTCAAGTAAAAAGCTTTTCATGGCTTTGTGAAACAAAGGTTAAATAGAACATAGTATAGTGTGCTTTAAATTCCATTGCATCTGAAGTAGAAATACAGGTGAAACAAAACTGCTAACAGCACTTTAGGGAATATGAGTTAGTAGAGAAATGTTGAATATTCACATTACCATACTTAGATTAAATGACTACTGTAGGCAGTTGTCTGTCAAAACTCTTTTCATTTGCTTTCTTGGTAATTCACTTTAACAGATGAGTGGTTTCATTATTGCAGTGCTTTTTGCTTATGAGTATTGAAGAATAACTGAAGTAGATTTCCATAATTGTTCCTCAGTAATTCTATACAGTACACTATGACTTCTAGATTTCAGGACCTGTTTTTTGTTTGTTTGTTTTGCTTTTGTTTTTTCTCTTTTCAAAAAAATAAACCTTCAAGCTTAGACCTTTTGGAAACATTTAGATCAGTTATTTTAATTGAATTACATTTACATAACAGAGCCCTGTAAAAAGGATCTGTACAAAACCAATTACCAGTCCACTTTGGCACAACTCTGGGATGCTTTAGAAACACTTGTGTTTAAAAGAAATAAAATGAAAATTTTCTGTGCTTGATACACATAAAATGACACTGACATGACATTTTAATTTCTATGTAACAGAAAAATACATTCAACTAAAATTAAATAAAAAATAACAATTCTTGGGCCTCCCGGTGGCGCAGCGGTTGAGCGCTGGGTTGCGAAGCTGCCTGCAGCCTCTGCAGCCGGTTCGATCCCCGGCTGCTCCCGGCCACCAGAGGAGGGTCCCACATGGCGCACAGACCTCTCCTGCCGCCCGCTGCTCCCTCAGCAGTGTACTTCGGTCCTTCTGCCTGCTCTGCTCCCCGCTCTGGCTCTGGTGAATTCTCTCACCCTCCCACGCTTCTGACTGTACCCAGTGCATGTATCAAACAAACAAACAAACAAACAAACAATAAATAAATAAATAAATAAGACATGCCTCTAGAAAATTAAAAAAAAAAAAAAAAAAATAACAATTCTTTCCTTATACCTAGATGAGTGGCCGGTGATAGGGAGAAGTCTTATTTTGGCATCATTATGGCTAATTATAGATAGGACTTTGAGAGTCCTTTCTAGCAAGGCTTTAGATTTTTACAGCACATGGATATATTTTATGTCAAGTTACTTAGTTTTTAAAACTAATAATACCTGCCTTTCACTTTTGTTATCAGCATGTTCACATTTATATTGCAAGAGTACTTCTTGTATTTCAAAAGACCACTACAATAATATTCTTTTATTTTGGGGAAGGAGGTACTCACAAAAGTGTGGCCAAATATTTTTGTCAGTGATGAGCCAAGAACTAGGGATTAGATTTGGTGATTGATTTAATGAGTAGAATTTCAAAGAGAAGTTTTTGTATTTTAATACCTACGTGTTTGCAGAGTTAGAATTCAAAATGAATATATCTTTTTATTCAGAATGTTAGGGTATACAGCGACTGTGAATTTGTTTAAATGAAAAATGCTTTTATACACAAAGGTGCTTTTCTGCCTGGAGTCTTAAATTACTATTAATTAAGCACTATATAATATAATAGATAATTATAGTGTTTTAATGTGGATGCCAGTAGATTTGCTAGTCTTTCTAAATGACTATTGTTGGCTAATAGTCTTCAGGGGATCATTTATATAGTCATTGTGGTTCTAAAAATATCTCTAAATACCAAGGGGACAGCCTTTTTAAAAGCATGGCTAATATAAAATGCACTTTTATTTGAAGTGTGTCATTTTGATTATATCGCTCAATTACTTACATGTGCAGCAAGAAAATACCAGGGCTGACAAAAAAAATAAAGCTCCTTATATAGAGAAAAAATTCTGAACAATATGGTATTTATATAAAGAGATATTTGAGTTTGGAGTATAAGGAATCTGTTCTATTCATTAGGATTTTAGATACATGCTGGAGATGTTTTTATGTTGCCTCTTTGTTTTTATTTTAATTAATATTTCTGTGGCAGAGAGACAATTAGGTAACTGCTGTTGAATATTAAATATGGTGGTAGCTTAGGGGAAAATAAGCATTTCTGGGTCAAAGCCCTTAACAATATTATCATATGTGAGCTGATTAATTGAATTGAATGCCAAATGGTTTTGCTACCATCCAACCAGACACTTCATAGTCTCTCAGTTCATTATATAAGACTGTTCTAGAATGGAATGACTGGTTATGTCAAAGTTAATGGTGTGCTTTTTAATCTCAGCTACTAATGCAGCAAATCTTGATTAGAGAAGAGTTCTAACCTCATTAAATTAACTAAGTATAAGAATATTCCAAAGATTCTGAAGCCGAATGTCACATTAGGCATTTGAATGTTGAATGTATGAGGTTCTCTGTGCTGTCACTCAGAAGTCTCTGGATTATTGATTCTGATCTGCAAGGTCCACTGAAAACCCTAAAATAGACCCTAAGCTATTCTCTAGTCCTTGTAGCATATATCTAGCATTGAATGCAAAAACGACTTAATTTCTAATCAGATCAGAGAAGCTGAGAATTTTCATCAGCCATATTTAGTACAGAGAAATGTTAGAATTTATGAACATAGCTGTTGAGTAAAGTGATAATTTTCCAAATTGTATTACAAAATATCTTAGGACTCAGACATTATGCCACTGTTTAACTATTTTAAAAACTGCATAAAGTATCAAATGTATATACCAAAATTTTCTTTAGGGTGATTAGTGATTAATTCATGCTGGCAGTTTAATTAGTTTGGGGCAGATTATTATTATTTTGTTCCTCCATATGTGTACACATTCCACTTAACCTCAAGTAAACTACCCGTGCCCAGGCCCCCTCTGCCTCCTTCAGGAGCAGATATTAGAATAAAACTGCTTTTTTCCCATATATTTGGAATTTTTATAAACAGAGACTCTGATAGAAAACTCCTACCTCTTCCCATACATGTAGGCTATGGCTACGTGTGCTCACTCACATTTAATTTTACAACCAGCCACATTCCCACAGTCTTCTTCTACTGAACTAAAAGTATATGCTCAGCAAGTTCCATTCTTATCTCTTTGAGAGCTTCCTTTTTACCATACAGGAACAAGTTAGACCAGTGACTGTTAACATACTGCAGCTTGATATAGCATTGCAAGTTTAGGTTTAGTTTACATTTCAGATGCCATTTGTCAAATTTATTTTTTTATAAAAGTGTTCTTCATCATAAGTAAACAATGCTATTATTTTTCATAACACCTTTGGCTCATTTGAATTTAGGGTATTTTGCAGTTAGAAAGCAAGCTTTAAATAAATTACTATTTCCAACCACTTACAGGTGTGGATCAGGATGATTCTGATATTCTCTAACCAAACAGAACATAAAGATAAATTAATCCCAACAATGATACAGCACTATACATGTCATTTACATCTCATAGAGGTTTATGTTCATAAACATAGTCTTGCTGTTTCACATTGATCAACTTTTAAATAAATGTTACAGATTATTTTTAAAAATCTGCAATTTTTCGAGTCTTCAACATACAGTTGTAGAGCTCTGTCGTGGACAGTCATTTCTACTTACACATTTAGGGTGGCAGACCTTGGCAGGTATAAATGCTATTGAGTATACAAGCTCATTATTGTTACAATTTATGGCTACTTAAAATAACTAAAAATTTGACATCTTAAGAATGTAAGAGATAGGAAAATTAAAACATAGTAGATTGGATTTTAAATTAAGAAGATTAGACAAGATACGGAGATATTATAGAAAAATCTCTGAATTCTGTATATATTCTTTTCTATCATTTTGGAAATTGTATTAGAGGCCAGGGTTTGCCTGTTTAACAATTCCATATTACATGTAAGCTGGACTTTTCCTCTCAAGGCAGAGAGGCAATCAAATGGAGCATGGTTTTTGTTGGTTGAAGAAGTAGAATAGGAATTTGGAAGGAATATGTTCTGATGCATATTTATACCTGTATTCATTTTTAACTGGACTCAGCTTTTTTTTTAAGATATATTTATTTATGCATACAAGAACTGGGGTACAGGCCAGAGGTGAGGGGGAATGAGAGGATTCACCAGAGACAGAGTGGGGAGCAGAACAGGCAGATTGACTGAATACACTGCTGAGGGGAGCAGCAGGCGGGACAGGAAAGGTCTGCTGCACCATGTGGGTCACCTCCCTGGCTGGCCGGGGTTCGAACTCCTGCTACAGAGGCTGCAGATAGCTTTATAGTGCTGTGCTTAACCCCTTGCGCCATGAGGGAGGCCCTGGACTCAGCTTCTTGTCTCACAGCAGCAAGAAAATCTCTCATCATTTACCCAGTGCATTTGTGAAATGAAGGTGAATGGCCTTGGAACCTGATGTATGTCCTCTGAGTTTTATTATCCATTGTTCTTGTCCCAGAGTTGGGTAAATGACTTTAGAAAGCCTCAGCTTGCTAGAACATGCAGACTTTATTCATTGTATGACTAGAGTGTATACCTCAGAAATCTTACAAAATTTATTTTAAGAGTATCTCTTCATGCACAAATATAAATGATGTTTTGGAGCGGAAAGATGACAAAAGTTGTAGCTTTAGAGAGCCTTATAACCAAAAATACCTCATTGTTTGAGGCATTCTATATAAGGAGTTTTAAATATTTTAACTTTATTTGTAATAAAGTTCTGTTCAACTCCCCCTCCACTCCCACCACCATTTATCCTGTTTCTGTGGAGCATCTGCCCTTCTTACTACCTCTTTGCTGACCTTATGTTTGTTTTGGTGTCTTTGCAGAGACCCTCCTTGATGACTTCTTGCTCACATACACCGTCTTCATGACAACTGACGACTTGTGCCAGGCGCTGCTAAGGCAATATCCTTCATTACCTTCGAAACGCTGCTTCGGCCTCCTCTTAGACTGATGTCTCACATTAGGAATTAAGTGCCTTTCTTAATTTACTCAACCCGAGGCAGAGCATGCATATTTTAAATATTAATGTAATGATATCCAAAGTAAAAGATGAAATGAGACAGAGTAGATGAGGGAACTGGAAATCCAGAGCTGCTGCTTTAGCGTGCCGTGAGTAAATTATACTGTTAATATTATGTTGTGGTTTTTTTTTTTTTTTAATATTATGTTGTCTTAAAGCCTGTGTCTCAAGAATTTAAGACATCAATGGATAGGTAAACTGGTTTCCTGGGCAAACCCCAGAGTCAGAAGGCTGAGTTAACATATGAAGTGAACTTACAGGACAGCCAGTCACTGATTGCCAGACTGCTTGTGCAGCAAAACGTGTACATGTGTGATATCCTATTTCTGGCCAGTGAACCCCAGGGAAATAAGCTATTTCCCCACATGGGAGGTCTAAACTCCTGGAATCAACTCTCATCTTCTCAGAACTTTGTCACGACTTGCTTTCTTAGAATGAAGGATGTTGATAAGAAGGTTAATGACCAGTTAGGGAAGATTTATGATTTTATCCACTAACTAGATGAGATGCAACACAGACACACTGAAAGGCCAATAACGTAAAGCCAACTGACTCTTGCAAAGCCTCCAAGTGGGTTTTGTGCCTTACAGTGTTGAAGAAAGCTGCCTCCGAAGCATTTAATTAACTGTTGACTGTCATGATTTTATTCAACCAAACTGAGAAAAGATTCCACTCTAGCCCTCAGGAAAATGGATTGTTTTTGTTCATTTTAAAAGAATACCTTTAAATTCTAAGTAAGGCATAATAGACTTAAAATCACTCTTAAACATAAAAACCCAAAATGGTGATGGATGACTTTTTAGTTTTTACTCTATTTTATAGAGAAGCAAAGCTTTAGATATTTTGAAACTTTTAAAACCAGTTTATTAAACTCATTTTGAAGCATTATTAGTTGGTTTTGAATTTGGAAAATTTCAGTAACAAATTTCTTTCACAGCTTCCAAGTGGGCTGTTAGTTACTAAGAAATTTACCAGTAATTACAAGGTTTTCAGTTTCTTTCTTTAGGAGTATTTTTGAAAACTAAGTATGAGCTAATTTCTTCTATATTTCAATGTCAACATAGTTCCTAAAGAATCACCATCCGTTAAATAATATAATTTGTTCTATAGCAAGCTAGATGCCTTTTAACTATTGTTTTAAAATTTGATCCTAATATTATTTGTGATTATCATTTAATAATTCATTACTTTGTAGGACTCCTCTAAAGAATCTCTAAAACTTCACGTGGATATAAATATATTTTGAGTCTTTTACTAAAACATTTTACATGAACAATTCAGATTCTTAGTAGCCCTTTTACTTATTATCAAAACCCATGAAATCTGGAACACTTTAAGCCAGGAATCTTCCTCCATGACTGCATCTATGTATTTTCAGATGCTCCCTTTTATGAAATATTACAAACCACAAACAAGAAGATGGCATTCATATTTAATTTGAGATTTTTTTTAAAGATTTATTTATTTATTTATTTATTTATGCAAGCACTGGGTACATTCAGAAGCACAGGAGGGTGAGAGAATTCACCAGAACCAGAGCAGGGAGCAGAACAGGCAGAAGGACCGAAGTATACTGCTGAGGGGAGCAGCAGGCGGCAGGAGAGGTCTGCGCGCCATGTGGGACCCTCGCCCAGCAGCTGGGGATCGAACCAGCGCTGCAGAGGCTGCAGGCAGCTTCGCAACCCAGCACTCAATGGCTGCGCCACCGGGGAGGCCCAAATTTGAGATATTTTTATGTACAATCTAAGTGAAGATGTCTTTCATATCCCACTACTATCAATTTCTAAGGAGTGGTACAAATTATTCTTTGTTGTTTTTCCTTTATTGTTTTTGAATGTTATTTATAGATTAGAATCATTTATGTTGCATTTGGATATCTTAGATGGATATTTTTATTGCAATGTAATTTAATGCCTTTCCACTTTTACCATCATAAACAGCATTATTTAGCTACAGCCCTAGGTTGGCTAATGTTCAGTGCATTACACTGAAGTTATAACTCTTACCTAATGTCCTTCCTCCATTCCCTTCCTCCAGCTAAATGTACAAATCAATACAATCTAGCATGGGCAAAGTGCAAAGGAATGAACATACCCAATACTGAAAACCAGAATAATATAAATGCAAATTTAATTAGTTAATATTTTTCTAAAGTATTCTGTAAGGAATAGAACAAAATTAAAGCAAATAAATGACAGTAACACAATGGAGAAGACTAGTAGAAGTTTCAGACCCTGAAGTTGCTTTATTCTTCAGGCTCATAATTGTAGAGCATAGTGTTTATGCAGTTTTAATTAAAAGCTCATATACTGACCTACAAGAAAGAAGTTGAAAAAAAAAAAAAAAACAAGAAAGAAGTTGATAGTATTTCTTAATTTTCCAGATTTATTTCTTTATATTATTTAAGCCATTATATTCGCAAGAAAAATAACAGTTGCATAAGGAGAAATAATATAGGAGAAATCCTTATATTTTCCCTTTGATGTGGAAAAACTTTAACAAATTGTGCATTTGCCTGAATTTATGCACATGTGGAAATCAAAGAAGTCAGATGGCCCCAGTGTATTTTTGCAGTTTGGGACAGAGTGGCTGAATTACGTTTTAAAATACCTACACAGCCTAATGTAGAATCTACTCCTACTTTACAGTTATATATCAATGATAAAGAATATAGAATCCTGTCCAAACAACCCCAAAGCCTACGTGTATTTGGTATCATAGCATTTCCTTTTCCTATTTAACTTTTAATGTGTCCTAGATACTCAGAAATGATAGTGTTCAGGACAAAACACTAAATCAATTTGGAAAATGCCAAACTTCTGTGTCATTCTTTTGACTTTAAGTACATTGTCTTTGAGGCTGTTATTTTTATTTAATTTTAACAATGAAGTTAACACATGTATACAATGTGTTACTAACAATGTGTTAGTAATTCTCATAAGTATAATAAAATAATTCATGTACTCTAAAATCTCACTAGCTTGAGAAGCCCTGGTTAACTTTCAATGTATATTTTTCCAGGTAATGAAATTATTTATATAAATAAGCATCATTAATATAAATGGGTCATCCTAACATACTCTTTTCTTCTTTCCTACTCAACAATTTATGTTGAATGTTCCATGTCAGTAAGTGTACTGCTGGATCATTACTTTAATGATTACAAAATAGCCCATTAAATGGATATATAATAATTTTGCTAACTGGACTCAGCAGTTAAAAATATTTAGATTATTTTTTTATTTCAGTGAAAGTAGAATTCCATTGCCCTTTATACCTACGTTGCATATTTATTCAATCCTCTTTTCCAAGTCAGTTCCTAGGAGTTGGCATTTGAATCATGTCATAAATTATGTTCTGGAAATCTAGAAGTAACTGGCTTTACAGATTATAATTTTCTGAGGATCAAAGGATATCTGATAGAATTCTAGCTTTTATGGAACTAGTGTCCACCTATTTAGTGAGGCCATTTAGTCTCTTGGCACCACCCTTGAAATGAATGGTCCTCCTGGTATGTCTTTGAGGGGGCGACCACCCCAATGCACGTGCAGTTCTCAGCACAGTGAGTGCTGTCACCCAACCTCATCTTCATGGCTGCCCCCAGGTGTGTGTAAATCATTTCCCTGGGTTTACAGTTGCTCTTTTCAATGAAGTTGCTCTTTTACTTTTCTGAACATATTATTTTCTTCCTTCAGACTTAGATTCTTATAGATTATTTGGAAAATATCCTTTAGCATATTTTATGGAAACAAGAATAAGTGGATCTCTTCATTTTTTTTTTAAATTTTCAACAATATATATTCTTTCTTAACCATTTGCACCTATTCTGCTAAGAAGTATCAAGGTAAAGAAGAAAACTCAGATGTTCCTTGTCGGAAGCGTAAGGTCTTGCATCTTGTTTCCCAGTGGATTGCTCTATACAAGGACTGGTTACATGAAGATGAGCATTCAAAAATGTTTCTAAAGGTAATTAATGCTCCCAGATAGTCTCTAATGACAGTGACAGCTTTTATTTTGGTTATGTATTTCAAAACTCTCATTTGTACTTGCAGTCATTCATATTTTTTATAATATTCAAGTTGTGAGTCAAAGAATATATAAATTTAGTTTGAGTTCTGAGGACTGATATTTGTACATAGAATTTTATTTTAAAACTCAAACTAATTTAAGATTATTTATAGGTCATGGGAATTTTGATTGCAAATAAAATAATAAGAACGGTAAAATTAAACATACTTTAAAATTTGATACTATTTAATATTTTGAGATTATATGTTTAACCAGTCCTATATATATATATATATATATATATAATATTTGGATAAAACATTTATTTAAAAATATATATGTTGACTATATATTATGTAACTTTTTCAGGACATGATGTAGTTTGAAGGTTTTGAGCTATTATAACTTATAAAATTGTAACTTAGATTTACATTTGAAGTTAGATAAACTGATGTATTTTTCTAATAATCGTAATAGATTGAAAAGTCTTCTCAACACAGATGATTCTCTGCACATAATTTTTAGATAGTTGAATTCTTTTGGCCATCAAAACCATAATATAGTGCAGGTTAACACAAAGGAGGGATAGAATGTAAATAAAGAAAGGAGGAGTTCTATTTCAGAAAAGGCAATTGTCTCAACAAAGTTTGCCTTTTATGAAGAATACTACTTGGAATTAAAAATTAAAAATGACTTGGTGTCATTTAGACACCAAGTTAAAACCTGATTTAATCAATTCTTTGACTAATGTTATTTTCAAAACAACTGGGTAATTTAATTCAATTGATTTCCCCCCCATTATAATATGGATATTATCTTTTTAAAATATAGAACAAGCATGGAAATTTCAGGTAGCCAGGCAGGGGTTTCTAAGCCCCTAAAAGATGTAAGGTCCCATGCCAGTTGAGAGGATTAAAAGGTGGCTTGCCACTCAGGATCTCATTGGGTTGACCACCTGCATTGTCCTGGATGCCTCCTAATTTTCCTGGTGGGATAACCTTTATCTGAGTCTTAAGACTAACAAAACAGACATTAAACCAATTCCGCTGCCATTTTTCTTTTTCCTCCAGACCATATACAGAAATGTACTGGATGATGTATATGAATATCCTATACTTGAAAAAGAACTGAAAGAATTTCAAAAGATACTTGGAATGCACCGACGTCAGTAAGTACTTAATTTTCCTTATTACAGCTAATGCATGAAATAGAAGCAAATATGATAGAATATGAGGGGTGTCTTTATACATATGGTTCATTTTAAAAATTTTGAAGGTAAATATTTGTCTTACTGGAAGCTCATAGCTATCTCTAATGGAATGGGACATAAAATTCTGTAAGTAGCTCCCCACAAGTTAGAGTACATTTTAAAAGCTCAATTTTATGGATTTCTGAGATTTCTTTATCAAGTTAGAAAGATTAAAGAAAGCCATTAACTCAATGGCTTTTGACATGACCAAGTATTCCCAGTGAATTTATCATTAGTCTTCCAATTACCAATATCTGACATTACTGTGATTTATCCCTAACTCTCCTTACAAATTTTGGTAAATGAAAACATCGAATCATTATGCATTTTTCAGACATAGCTACAAAGTTAATCTGAAGGAAAAATTATTGTCTGATTTACATTGTAGCTTCTACTTAGTAAACATGAAACATCTGTTGTCAGCTTGTTGAAAACTTCTGCTAAGATTTCAGCTGTCACAATGCACTATACAGAGTAAGTGTTAATTCAGGCTTTTCTGATTAGTAAAGGGAGATCCTCTTGTAAATTAAATGTCTGTATAAATTAATTTTAGGATGCAAATAGTCATGTAAGCTTTAGTCCTCAGTCATGAAAATCACATATTTAGAAATTCAGAAATGAAATATAACTTAGGACAACACCACAGTTAAAAATAACTGTGGTACAGATTTATGGTCAACTAACCTTTGACAAAGGAGCAAAGAATATGCAATGGAGCAAAGAAAGTTTGTTCAATAAATGGTGCTGGGAGAACTGGGTCGCTACATGCAAAAGAATGAAGCTTGACAACTACCTCACACCCATGCACAAAAACCACCAACTCAAAATGGATTAAAGAACTAGACATAAGACCTGAAACCATAAAATATATAGAAGGAAATATAGGTGAAACACTACATAACATGTTCCTCAAAGACATCTTTACAGACATATCACCCAAAGCAGTGACAGTGAAGGCAAAGATAAACAGCTGGGACTACCTCAAATTAAAGAGCTTCTGCACAGCAAAAGAGACAATAAATAAAGAAAACCCCACTAACTGGGAGAAAATTTTTGCACACAACACTAATGATAAAGGACTGATCACAAAAATTTACAAAGAGCTGATGAGACTCAACGAAAACAAAGAAAATAATCCCATCAAAAAATGGGCACAAGAGCTAAAAAAAACATCTCCAAAGAAGAAATGCAAATGGCCAACAGGCATATGAAAAAATGTTCAACATCACTTGTAATCAGGGATATGCAAATCAAAACTACAATGAGATACCATCTCATACCAGTGAGAAACAATATCATCTTACACCAGTGAGAAACAAATGTTGGCAAGACTGTGGAAAAAAAGGAACTCTCCTGCACTGCAGGTGGGAGTGCAAACTATGGAAAGCTGTGTGGAGGTTCCTCAGCCTACTAAAGATAGAGCTTCCATATGATCCAGCAATTCCACTCCTAGGTATTTACCCAAAGGACACAGAAACATCAATTCCAAAGAGCACCTGCACCCCTGTGTTTATAGCAGCACTATTTACAATAGCTAAGCTATGGAAACAACCCAAATGCCCAAAAATAGATGACTGGATCAAGAAGATGTGGTACATATACCCCATGGAATATTATTCAGCAATCAAAAAAGATAAACACATGCAGTTTGCAGCAACATGGATGGAGCTAGAAGGGATCATGCTCAGTGAAATAAGTCAGAAAGAAAAAGAAAAATACTGGATGGTCTCACTCATAGCAGGAATCTAGAAAACCTAAATAAGGGACCAGGAAAAAGACTAATTAATACAAAGTAAAAATCAAAATCAATAAGCAACTATAAACCAGAGAAACACTACGGGGGTGGGGGGGGTTTGACGGAGAGGAAGGATTAGGGTCAAAATAAGGGGGGGGGTGCAGTTGTATGGGGAATATAGCCAAAATGAAAATGCATACATTGTGCAAAAATGAAAAATGATATAAGAATTACATAAAATAAAATATTAAAAAATAAATAAAATTAAGAGACTCTTACAAAAGAAAAAAATAACTGTGGTGAATTTGGGTAGTCTTTTATTATAGTCTATGCTATAGCCTAAGAGTAGTCTGAAAATATGAACAAATAAATTTTAAAAAGAAAAGGCAAGAAAATCTTAACATAAAGTACTTCCCCTCATGGAGGTTACTGTACTCTAAGACAGACCTATTACCGTGGGTACACTTTAGTTCATTTAATACATTTGCATGCATTAAACACAGTAATGGGACTTAATACATTTGATTTTAAAAACTTATGTAATATAGGAAATAAAGATCAAAATAAGAAAATGATATTAGGATATGATTCTTGTTACTTTGATCTAGGGTTATGAAATATCTCTAGATTCTGGAATAAAATGTGAACCCCAAGTATTTTTCTCTACTTCAATGTACTAATTGAGGAGAAAGAGTTTGTTTCTGAGAACAAGATTGATATCTTTGACTGTGGTTTTCCTAATGACACGTGAAATTGGCTGCAACGCTGATTCCTTCTGGTGGCCTCAGATGGTACCTGTCAGTGGGTATCTGTGGAGCAAGATGAGAGATGGACCTACAAACTGTCCCTGCTTCTCCTACACATGGAAACATCCTAGAAAAGATGTACCTTGGCTGACTTATGTAGATATCTGAATAATAATAATGCCACTTAAAATTTATCAGTATATGAGAAAATGAAATGTATAAATCCTTGACGTGGGTAGAAAGCAAAACACACCTGTTGAATAGATAGCTTCTTTTCTTCCTGGTTCACCTGAAATTCAGAGCCCAGTGTCAAATGGATTATATATAGTAAACTGATGAATGCTGTTTTATCTTTTAGAAACGTAAAACCTCTGCTCAGAGCAGGAGACTGAAAATTAGTCCTCTGTGACAATAACTGCATTATTCTGGGTTTGGGACAAAGACTGACTTCTTGTCCTTTTCCTTTCAGCACTGTAGATGAATATTCACCACAAAAGAAGGTAAGGCAGACCCTTCCGTGGCTGAAATGGGATAGGGTGATAAATGTGGGGACCTTGTCCTGCCTCACTTAACATTTCTTCATAATTAAAATGAATAATGCCTCAAGCAGCACAGGGCAAGGCCGGGGAACCTGGGGCTGAGGCTTCCCTGCTTCACCACAGCTTCCCTATGCTCGTATGACCTGGTATTCAGCCATGTGCCCTTGACTTTATGACATTTTCATGGTGCATTTTGGAGTCTGAGTTTCCCTAATATCCCTAGAGTGATGCAAATTTGAATTTCAAAACATTGATGCAAAAAAAAAAAAAAAATCCAGGCAAGAATCCTGACTGCAAGAGCTAAGGAAGTCTTATAAGGAAAAAGATGGCACTCTCAATACAACAGAGAAATACATACGTTTCCTAATCAGTGTGAGAGGGGAAACATAAAATTAGATACCAGGCGTAAGCTTTACAGAAGATATATATCAAGTGGGTAATGGTAATGTATAATACACATACTTCCCTTAAGAAATTCATTGTACTACAACGGAAGTATGAAGCCATTTTAAAGTTGCTTTAAAAGGTTGACATTGGAATGGGGGAAATGATGCTTTTCTCAGAAAAATCTGTGCATGTGTGTAATATCCAGAGATTAAAAATCATGTGGATATAATTATAAGGAAATAATTATAAGGGCCTTTTGCCTGCTACTGGCTTTGGCCAAGGTCTGTCATATTGCTCAGACTCTCCACCTCCACATGCACTAATTGAGGCAACTCCCAGTTTATTCCTCTAAGATTGGATGGGTGGATTTCATATTAAAAAAAAAAAAAAATTGGCTAGCTCTCTTGGAACACATTGTAAACAGCAGTGGTTTTCCAAAGAGCAAGAATACATTCATTCATTGTTCTCTTTCTCCCTTCTCACAGAATAAAGCCCTTTTCCACCAATTCAGTCTTAAGGAGAACTGGCTCCAGCTTAGAGGAACTGTGACTGAAACAGAGGAAAGTGAGTATGGTTCCAAGGAGGGCTTGGGTGGGTGGAGTAGCGATTCATCACGGCCTTTCTCCAACATTAACGCGTCAGCCTGCCTTTAACTATTTCCAGCTGTCACACCCCTCTGACAAGCACACTAACATCAAATATGATAGTTGTTTGGTTTTTTTTTTCCCTTGCTTTGAGCATTACAATTTTCTTGGTGATGTAATAGTATTGGAGGACCCGGGACATTTTCACTAGGGAAGGAAGGAAAGGAGACTATAAAAAGCTTTTCTACATTCTGAGGGAGAGGAGTGAAAGGCCTGGAAACTCTACCTCTTTTTTCCTCTTGGCCTTTTCCTCAGCCCCTTGTTTCATCAGACCCTATTACTTATTAGAAAGACCACTAAAGCCAACGTACTTGGGGGTTGGTTGAGTCGAGAAGAAAATCCTGTAGAGTAATAAAAGGCAGGGTGGGCTATCAGAAGTCCTCCAAGGCAAGGCTGTGTGGGGCACTGCAACTTCCTGTGTGTCCTCAGATCATGCTTGTTAGTGACAATAAGGCCCATGCCCCATCCTGAAGAGGGCTGCTGTGACAATTCAGGTAAGTACAAGGGGAAACACCTTTTTAGAACCCTGTGGTGCTGACGTGCTTTTCCACGTGAATATTTTATAATGGCACTGGAAATGATTTTTTCCTGTTTGGATGAAGATTGAGTCAACAGCAGAGCCAGGAAACAGAGCAATTAAAATGTTCACACTATTGTGACTTCAAGACTTTCCCTTTTATATGGCTTTTATCCAAGTGCAGAAACTCTAAGTGTGAACAGTGTGAACATTTAGTATTTGCTCAACTTCTTGAACACTTACACAGCAAAATGTTACATTCTGCTTTTATGTGCCACTTAGTGGATCTCTGGGGTGTCATCTGTAGTCAATAAAAGAGCAAATGAAATTATTTTACTGAACTCCTTAGTTGCTGACCTTCCTTGCCCATTTGTCTTATAGTTTTAATTGCTTAATTTTCCAAGCTGAGTTTCAGAGTTTGACTATATCAAGACCCCTTGTCTCTTTTTCCTTTCATGAGTTTATTAAGCAATATGGACAGTGGGCCTCATATCTAGTGGTTATGCACCAGATATTTGCCTTGCTTAAAAGTTCCATTTTTCTAAGACAAGATAAAAGCTTTCTTGGGCCTCCCCGGTGGCTCAGCGGTTGAGCGCTGGGTTGCGAAGCTGCCCGCAGCCTCTGCAGCGCCGGTTCGATCCCCGGCCGTTGGCGAGGGTCCCACATGGTGCGCAGACCTCTCTGCTGCCTGCTGCTTCCCTCAGCAGTGTATTTCATCAGTCTGCCTGCTCTGCTCCCCGCTATGGCTCTGGTGAATTCTCTCATCCTTCCACGCTTCTGATTGTACCCAGTGCTTGTATAAATAAATAAAAAAAAACTTTAAAAAAAAAAGGAGAGAAACCATTTAAAAAAGAAAAAGAAAAAAAGCTTTCTTGCCTCTCATAAGTCTGTTGACAACATATAAAACAGCTATTTGTTAGATGCTATGGCTTTTGTGACACACCCAACCAAACCAAACCAAATGCGGTCAGTGCCTCCCAGTGGCATATTTACTTTCAGGTTTGTACGTGAAAACTAATAGTTGTTCTTTTGTCTGGTTTGCATTTCTCTGAAAACTTTCCTGGACTTCTTTTTGTAGTGCCATTTAAATTGCATACAAAATTTCTCTAGTTGCTGCACTTTTTTTTTTGCAATACAAAAGAGAATCTTATCCTGTCTTTTCTGAAAAGTTAGTGATATAAGAAGCAAATAATGTGCCAATTATCTCCATTGCTATTAAAACAGTTCCTGCTGTCAAATCACAGGAAATTTTTTTTCTAGGACCTGTTCACCCTGAAAATGATAATGTCCTTGTAATAATTATTAACACTTCAGACAATAAAAAGGAAATTAAAAAGAATAAATATGTGACCTCTGTTTGGAAACTAAACTCACCACCACTTTGATAGAGAGGTCATTCTTAAATGACCAAAAACCATGGCCAATGACAGATTTTCAGAGAATTCTAATAACTAATAATAATTCTAATATTACTAATTTTATGAGAATTCTTATAACAAATGTGGTATTCTTGATTGGACCATTGTAACTGTCCAGAAGTGCTGTGCAATATACTTTAATATACTGCTTAATATACTGCTCTGAGAGATAAGAGTAACCCTTAAAGAAGGGACTCATAAACATGGTTTGTGTTCCAGAGATCTCCCTGTACTGTGTTCAGGTCATCTACAATCTGAACACACACTTGCAGGACGCAGGTCTCTCATTGCAGTACGGGAAGCCATGCACCAGCCAAGCTAGTTCATCAACTTTGTTAAATCTGTATCATCTCGTGTATTCACACATTTATATGCATATACCCTCAGGCACCCAAGAGCATCCATCACTGTGTAGATCTGACTCTGTACATTTTATACTTAAGAGAACAGCGAGATGGAGGCCTTGATTGGAGAAGTCTACCTTATCGCCACAGTTCTCTTATTTATTAACAATTGTTTTTCCTTGTGCAGTTTTTTGCCACGTGTATATAACAGAGCACTCTTATGTTAGTGTGAAGGCAAAAGTTTCCAGTACAGCCCAAGAGATCCTAAAAGTTGTGGCAGAAAAGATCCAGCATGCAGAAGAGGATCTGGCCCTGGTAGCAGTCACATTCTCTGGAGGTAAATTATTTTCTGTCTTTGAATATTAATCTTTAACTGGGTATTCTCTGAAAGGAGAGAGGTGACATTTTTGCAGAGCAAATGTGTAGCTCAGCCCCTCTGGGTCCACAGCAGGATGACCAAGGTAACAATAAGAAGCCGCCTCCCAAAGGCGTTTCCATGACAACAGTCGGGTACTGCTGATACTGAATTTCCTCCCCAAGAACTGAACAGAGTGAACAGCACACCAGTGTTTTGAAATTTATTATAAAGATTTTCATATTTTGTACTCTAGATAAGCCTTCTATTTTCATATTAACTGGGGAAATTGCTAAAGGATGAAATTACTTGAGGAAGAAAAAAGAAACAGACTTAAACCAGTCATAGTTGTGATGATTTAATATTAAAGACTACCTACTGAAGGAAATAAAAACTGCAATACCCCAAAAGCTCGTAGGCAGTGTTCCTTCAGGTGGATGTGGGGTGTAACTCCTAGTTATAGCTTTTCCTTCTGTTGGGCTTTATTTATCCTTAGAGAATGGTTTATTGTCTGTTTTGAATAAGATCACACAGATTACAAGCTGACACTATTGATCTCAGTGACCTGAATAGACCCCTTGCTTTCACTGGAGCCTGTCAGCTCTCAATGTCCCTGGTCTCCTTTTTAGCTTACAATCTTAATATCTCATTAACCCTTGGAAAAATACAAAGAAAGTGACTTAGAGTTAGTAGTTGAAAAATAGGCGTATTCTGTGAACTAATAAACCAGAGATGGGGCGGGTGGGGGAGGGGAGCAGATAAAAGGCATTCCCGTTTACCCTTTACTAGCACTGTAGAGTCAAAAGAACAATATCAGAATATACTGGACATTCAAGTATCATGTGACAGAATATTGCTTCTATTACTTTGTTACTAAGAGGCAGGTAAAATAGTCCACAAGCTATTATACCTATAGTCCACAAGCAATTATATATGCAAACAGATACAATCCTCTCCCTAAGTCTAATAAATGAGATCCTCTCCTCCCTCTCCCAGGGCTCAATTAATTGTGCATCCATCAAAACATCATCTAGAAAAAAAGGTAAAAATTTAAGAAACAAGTGGACTACATCAATTTTAGCCAGGAAATAGTTCAATTTTTAATAAAATATTGTAAATAACCCAGATAAGTATCATAAATGCATATTATACTTAATTTTAGATAACCAAAAATATTAAATGATGCTGAATTATATCAAGCCATTATTAACCTCTCAAGATGGCACCATTATGGGGATTAATCACTGAGTCTCCACTCAGACAGACGGTGCTAGAGAAGGAAGGACCCTGAGTGAACTTTGTAACACAACTGAGATCCATGTCCCTGGAGGCATCAGCCCAGGGCCGCACGTGAACCTGCAAATTAATGAGTAGCCCTTTTACTACCCAACGTGTAATTGATGGCTGTGAAATACCATTTTTACACTCTATTAGATTCATCAGGGTGGGCAATAGTGTTCTAAAGTGTATAGACTCATTGTTAATCATCATAGGAATATCATTTTATCTCAGATTATCCCACAGATTTGGAAACATGCCATCACTTTCTATCAATTAGTACTTTTGTTTTTTAAGAACATTTCTCTGCAGCTTAATAACTTCCAAACAATAATGTTTTTATGAAGGAAAAAAAAAGAGCTTAATATATTCCATGCTCTAGTTACATAATTTTTCAATAAATGTTTTAAATGCTACTTCAAAATGAAAAGACATTCACATCTACTGTTATTTCCTGTTTGTAAAAACAAACTTAAAGAAGTTGATAATGTTAAGGGTTTTCTGGATTTTTCTAAAAGGAACAATATTGTCCAATATAGCTTTCAGTAGGTTTCTAGCTATATTGATCCCAGAGCATGTATGTATATGTAGTAACAACAACTGACCCAGTGTAGGGGCAGGACTGGATACAGGTGCAGGTTTTCTGATCCCATGCAGACCGGGTAAAGGAGGAGTCAGAGTCCTCAGTGGTTTTGCAGGTCTTTTATTTGGGGTTCACCAGGCATATGGCAGACAGGGGTGCTGGCTGGGGGGCTGGGAGGCTGGCCAGCCCCCAGCAAGTCTTCACTCTATCTGGACTCTCTGGCGTTCGTTCTGCTGCTTCTCGGCTTCTGCTTCGGCTTCTCCGGCTTCTACTGCTGCTGCTGGTGCTGCCGCTGCTGCTGCTGGCGTCCCCGTGACACCGCCCTTAAAAGCACAGTCTTAGCTCAGCTGAATCCCATCTACCTATGCCCACACCCTATTCCAGGTGCCCGCCATCAGGCATGCATTCAGGACAAGGATCCATCATCTATCCTGATGGCGGAAGGGCAGAAAAGCCTGACATTTTCTTTACCCTACAGTCCACCCCCTCAGGGTTTTCTGCCATACAGTCTATACATATATATACAATTTTCTAAGCAAAGAAACAATGCAGCCATGGCCCACAAAAGCAAATACATCAAATATAACAAAATACAATATAACAAAATACAACAGAACACAAATAAGTCCAGGCAGGGCACCAACCTAGTGCAAAAGACAATTATTGGTACCAGCAGATAAGCCACCAAATCTGCTGCCGAAGGCACTGCTCATACGAGGGAGGGGAATCACTCACGGTATCTACTATAACACACCAGGAGCCGTCAGGCTTCCTGGCCTTCTCTGGCTGTAGTCTCGGCTACAAGGCACACACCACATCCACCCCCAGATGCACTAGCTCTGGGATTGGCAATTTTATTCTGTTGGGGGTAATCGCCAACCCTCAGGGTTTCTGTCTGCAGTCGCTCCAACACTCGGCCTTCACAGCCACCCATGAGACTCGCAGACCCCTGCACTCAGGCCAACCCACTGCACAAGCACATGGGTCGGGGATCAAAACTCTGCATTCGGCTTGGGCTCCACCCCAAGCCACGTTCCCCACCCGTCCCCCAAGGACAGGTTCCTCAGCTCCTCACTCAAGAATGAGCAGGGCATCACCCACAGGTGATTTTACGAGACTCACAGTTCTTCAGCATACTAAGGCTGCTTAACAGCTGCTTAGGGCTTCTCAACTTAGCATCAGTACCGGCTTTTGCCTTCTTAGTTGGCTTTTCTCCTCCACCTGGCTGCTGGGCATGCACAGGCTGCTTTTGGCCATCAAGGCCCACTGGCCACCCCCAGACTCCCATCTCCTGGGGTTCACAAACAAAACTGTTCCACCCCCAGGGTCCCAAAACATATCAACCTGCAAGTCCTCCGCCTTCTGGAGGGATTGTCAGTCCAAGTTTATCAGTCCATGTCCAGCAGTTGAAGTCCATTGTCCTCTCCCTGCGTCAGCAACAGCCTGCTGCCTCAGGGGTCATTGGCTGGTCCTTTCCGGTGTCGTTGGCTGGTCCTCTCGGGCGTCTCCTCCATGCGAGGTCTCGTCCCACAGCTCCGGACCGTATCCACCTTCTGTGCCGCCATGGTGCCTCCAGCGTCATCACAGGCAAACAGTCTGTTCTCCTTAGTCCCTCCAGGTCTTTGGAGGGCTCCAATACCCATCTACATGGATCTTGCCGACTTACGCCAATTGTAAGGGCAGGACTGGATACAGGTGCAGGTTTTCTGATCCCATGCAGACCGGGTAAAGGAGGAGTCAGAGTCCTCAGTGGTTTTGCAGGTCTTTTATTTGGGGTTCACCAGGCATATGGCAGACAGGGGTGCTGGCTGGGGGGCTGGGAGGCTGGCAGGCCTCCCAGCCCCCAGCAAGTCTTCACTCTATCTGGACTCTCTGGCGTTCGTTCTGCTGCTTCTCGGCTTCTGCTTCGGCTTCTCCGGCTTCTACTGCTGCTGCTGCTGCTGCCGCTGCTGCTGCTGGCGTCCCCGTGACACCGCCCTTAAAAAGCACAGTCTTAGCTCAGCTGAATCCCATCTACCTATGCCCACACCCTATTCCAGGTGCCCGCCATCAGGCATGCATTCAGGACAAGGATCCATCATCTATCCTGATGGCGGAAGGGCAGAAAAGCCTGACATTTTCTTTACCCTACACCCAGTTATTCAGAGTATAAAATTCTGTCAGTTCTAATCTTTTGTAGTACAGTGACAAACCTGAAAATAAGGAAAATGAAAAATAGCAAATGAAAAATAGCTGTCACATGGTCATGGCATTGTATTCTGTAGCAAGTGTGAAATGGCTTTCATAAATTCAGATTTAAGGTATACATGGGCACACAGAAGTTTGCAAGAAACTGTAGCTTAACAAAGAGGGAGTAAGTGGAAAAACTTCAGAGCCCAGCTGTATAGGACCAGCTGTATGGGACCATTTACTACACATGTCAACAGCCCGCATGGCAGTACTATTGATCTCTATAATGTCAGGCTATAAAGAATATATTAGATTATCATTTGTCTATTAAGCAAATTTCTAAACTCTATTAAGCAGAAATGTTCAAAACAAAATTTAGCATTTGAACTGATTAAGTTATCTAGAAAAGGTATGTGGGGGTTTGTATTCCCAATCAAGCTGATTAACTCAAGGGCCATGCTTAAGAGAAGCTGATTATGTTACAATGTAATAAACTTGAGTGTCTGCTTTAGGTGATTCCTATATGCTTTTTGTAGTTGGGAGGGAGACATTTTTCTATGAAGAAATCTATTGTGTAATAGAGTTCCAAGTCTGGTAGAAAAAAAAAAAAATGGTTGAAGAATAGTTAACAATTTCAATAAGGGAAATAAAATAGAAGAATATAAACACAGCATTACTAGTCATCAAGAAATATAATTTAAGGACATATTTTTGGTTTTAGCAAAATAATGATTAGTGTTGCTCAGTGCACAAGTTTTAGACCTATTTTTAGGTGTTTGCTGGTTTATTTTCTAAAAAAAAGCAAGAATTGGAAAGCAACTTGGCAGTTTACATCAAAAACTGGGAAATTATTTGTTCCCTTTGACCCAGTAATTCCACTGCTGGAAATCTGTCTTAAGAAAATCATTTATAAGCAGCTAAAGATTTATGCACAAGGATGTTGACTTCAACAATACATACTATGACTTCTCCTATAATAGAACCAATTTATCAAGCCCCTGTTATGTGCCAGAACCTGTGCTAATACTTAGCATATATCTTGTGGTCTAATTTATATGACCAAAAAATTAGAAATCATTAAATGTTCAGTAGAGAAAATTCTAAATGATGGCATAATGGATTATTATGGAACCAATTAAACTTGACATATAAATAATTTTGATAAGTGCTTACAATAAAATCAGAATATAAAACCATATATAGAATAATTACAAATGTATTTTATATGTGTATCCATAACTATGAATATATGTATATAAATAAGAGTTGGGACTGTGTGTTTGTGTGTATATCCAACACACACATTTATATAAATATATCCAAATATTATCAGTATTACTGTCTATAGTGACTTAGAGTGATGAGATTATGGATTTTACTCTCTTTCTTAACCTTTTTTGTGTTTTAACCGATAACTGAATATTATAAAAAAGCATTACCGGGGGCTCCACATTATGGATAAGTAGCAGTGGTGTCTGTGATCTCACTGCTGTCATTGTATGGAGTATGCAGAATTGAATTAAATCTACTTTATATCTGATTTACTTTTAAGAATTTTTCTTTGGCAAGTTTCACTCCTTGTATGTCATACATACCTACTGCTGTTCCTGTGTTTCCCTTTCTAATTATTCTTTTTTATATATATAAAGAAAAGCATGAGCTTCAGCCAAATGACTTGGCCCTGTCCAAATCTCTTGAAGCATCTGGTCGAATATACGTGTACCGGAAAGACCTGGCTGACACGTTGGTAAGGACCTTTTAACCTTGTACTTGAAACACACACACAAATGTCATACTGAAAGCATATTTTTGAATGGTAGAAAGTACATTAAATTATTCCCTTCTTCTGCTAACAATATACATGTCATAACACTACTTTTGTAAATCAGAGAGAGGCCCAATTTAAGGAATTCTAAACTCTTCATAACTCAGTCCTTCCTTCTTTCTAAGCCTTAAACAAGAGGCTTATGAGAAGAAACTCCCTCTTCCATGGCATCTAAATTCCATTCCTCCTTTGGTGGATCAATGGAGATAAAACAGAGAAATACACCTTACAAGATTTAGGGAGAAGGAAACTTTGTGTCCTTAATTTCCTTCCATTTGGTGAACTGTGAGTGCACCAATCCATTAAAGAAAGGGTGGCTCATCCTCAGCCTTCCCTGTGTAAAAGAGGCTTATAACAATGGGACATGGGATACCACTGAGAGTAAGGATTTGGTGAAGAGTAGAACCCATACTCTCTCTAAGTTATTTTTAGTTAAAATATAAGCAAATTTATGCCTAAGTAGATAACTTACTGTTTTTCATATAAACCTTCGTCTCGTGTCTGGTCCCAGCCTAGTCAGACCAGTCCCTGAAAAACTCTGCTTGCCCTCACCTCTGCATTTGTATGGAATTCATTCAGGCCACCCTTAACTGAGTCCCACCCTACTTCCTGCTTTTGGGATACAGAAACCATTTCTATTTTGACCAAAGATAATCAAGTCTGTGGGAAAGTTGTGCGATGGTCTTATCATTAGTTGTTTTTTTTAAGATTTATTTTATTTATACAAGAGCTGGGGTACAGGCCAGAGGTGCAGGAGGGTGAGAGGATTCACCAGAGAGAGCGGGGAGCAGAACAGGCAGATGGACCAAAGGCATTGCTGAGGGGCGTAGCGGGCAAGATAGGAGAGGTCTGCCGCGCCATGTGGGTATCTCCCTGGCCAGCCTGGAATCAAACCCGCGCTGCAGAGGCTGTGGACAGCTAGCTTCACAGTATGGCGCTCAACCTGCTGTGCCACTGGGGAGGCCCTACTGTTTTGATTTTTTTCAATTAGAAAATGTTTATAAATGCAGAACTTCTAAAATGCAAATAACTTATTTTGACATTTGAAAATAGAGGTTAGCATTTGGAATCTAAGATACTCCTATTTTCCTGCTATGTCACTTTTTTTTGCAAAGTCTTACTCTTTTTGTTATTAACTATTAAAGGCCAACAACTCAAATGGGAGAATTTATATTTAATTAGAAAATATCAAATGTTTTGAAAAGATACCAAATGATTCTTAATAAATTTAACAGTGACAATAGATTTAAAGTTGTGGTGCCATTTCAAAATTTCATGCCAGATTTTAAGGAAATACTGTTGCCAAATTCATACCTATTTCTGTAAAGAGAACAACTGATACTTAATCATCCAGCATGCAGTATAAATGAGCTAACCTGTATTTTTCATTTCCTGCTTAAATTATTTTTTACTTTTCATAGCATTTTAATAAAATTTGTAAATGTGTGCCTGGGACAAGACTTGTTAAACATATTTCCTGTAAAAGCCATGTCTGTTTTTATTGAAGCGCACCATGACATTTCTTTTGTTTGTTTTTATACTCATCCTGCTGGCACATTAATTCTTACCAGAAGCCAAAGTGATTTCAGGGCTTTCACTTTCATTATGTTGCCTGTCGGGACGGTGTTTTATAATCAGATTTATGCGTGCGTGCGTGTGTGTGTGTGTGTGTGTGTATGTGTGTGTGTGTAAGGGGGAGGTGGAGGCTAACTCAGTGAAGTGTCATTGATCACATTCTACTGATTCCAAGACTGTTTCTTAAATTGGCTGTAACTCACTGAAGGTGAACAGACCAGGAAAAATATTAAGTGCACTCAAACAAGATTATTTTTCTAATCTGGGCTTCTAGCGCCTTTCTGCAGCCTGCCAATTCAGTGCCAAACATTTGGGAATTACTGAGGATCCTTTTGCTTCTGTCTGTTGGTTTAGAACCCATTTGCAGAAAATGAGGAATCACAGCAAAGGTCGATGAGAATTTTGGGAATGAACACTTGGGATCTTGCTCTGGAATTAATGAATTTTGATTGGAACCTCTTCAATTCAATTCACGAAGTAAGTACGGGTGAAGGGTAAAATGTTACTGCTTATGCTTATGATAAAATAAATGTTAACTGAGTTTTTTAAAGGATATTTATGTGTATCACTAGGTTTTTAAAAGATCCATCATCTGGTTTTAAATATATTTACTTAGCACACCCTCAAAGATATTTAGGGACTTTAAATATATTGAAAAGACTGACCCAAATCTAGAAAAATCATAATACATGATTATATTTTATTTGCTCCTATAATTGAGTGTGTGTTTACTGTAATATAAATATGCTTTATTTATATATGTATGTATATATATTTATGTATATATGAAGTTTTAGTGGGGTTAATGGAGTCATTTTACATTTGATACTTTTATACTGATAGTCTTATCCTTTCTATAAAGTTCATGGTAGTTATACAAGAAACATATTCCTGTGTGTACACATACTTGTTCTTTTACTCAAATTTAGAATCTGCTGTAAGATTTCAATACTTTTTTGAAAATATTGAAATATAATTCAAATTTTTATGTCCATCAACTTTTTCTCTTGACAGCTTATAACATTTATAAAATAATAGATATGGGGCAAAATGCTACTGACAATTAATACATTTAGGGCTCACAGGAATCAGTAAATGAAAAATGTAACAGTTCTGACCCACCATATGTTGCATCTGCTTTGCCATGTAGTGAGATTTTTTCTTATGAAATGTCTTTTCTTTTGAAGAAGGAACTCATGCCCTACTTAGGGACCCTTGAGCTTCACTTTCAATTTGGAATATCCTTTAAATGTCTTCGATCAGTCCATATAATTACTTATCTTATTTGCTTTTTAAATCTGGATGTCACCTTAATCTCATTCTCTTTCTATAATTTGGCAGTACCTGAGTTGTTCACAGAGTTTATCAGACCTGTTCACCCAGACCTGTAACAGCACCACTGGGAACTTATTAGACATGTTAATTTGGGGGCCCACCACAGACATATTGAGTCAGACCCTGGGGGTGGGGCCCAGCAATGTGCCTTCCACATTATCCTGATTCACATTAAATTTTGAGACCCCTGATCTAAGCAATCTACCTGTGAGGATCTAATGTGCAGCTTAATAAGCACAAGTGATAGTATTCATTTTTTACTTGAATTTGCCAATATAACAAACTTGGAATATTTGGATTTGAGTCAGCCTATGATTTAAACTTAGAATGTTTTAGATTTTTGTGAAAGGCATCATCATCACATTCTGAAAAATTACCTTTGTATAAGGATTCTAAGTGAATGTTCTTTCACCAGTATCTATTAAACTAAATTGCTTTTTAGTACATTGTTATTTGTTATAGTCTCATAACAGGAGGTGGCTACCTGAAGTCTCTCTTTAAAATGGAGTGAGTTTTGTATCAACTTGACTTTGAATGTGCAAATAAACACTGGCTTGAATACATTTTCTTTCAGCAAGAGCTGATTTACTTCACCTTCAGCAGACAAGGAAGTGGGGAGCACACAGTGAATCTCAGCCTTCTACTCCAGAGATGCAATGAAGTCCAGCTTTGGGTGGCCACAGAGATTTTGCTGTGCAGCCAGCTGGGCAAGCGAGTACAACTGGTGAAGAAATTCATCAAAATCGCTGCTCAGTAAGTGTCTAGTGCTGACAAGTGCTATTCATCTCATTTCTTTGGGACAGTGTGTTTTAATCACGAGCTGGTAAAAGGGTTAGGGTGTAATATGAGATAAGTGGCCAAATGATTGAAAAGTCTTTTCTTCAATATGTATTTTTGCATTTGAAGTATTTATTGATATATTTCAAAGCAAATGTCAAAATTCCAGACCAAAGCACCTTGTTCTATGCTAAAAAAAACTAGTAACTAGACAATACAAACATGTCTCATCCCGAACTAAACTAGTGTAGCCGTGGGAACTATAGTACACTAGGAAAATGGGGGAAGTTGATGTGAGGTTGAGAATCACTGAAAGTCACATGTGTTCTTAATGCTTGTGACCCATGTGATGAAGAGCAGATTCTCTATAATTAAATACTTAAAAATAAATTTAAAAAAGATGATCTATGGTAAAAATTCAAATTTGAGGTTGAACCCCCCAATTTTCATTCTTGTAGGTGATTACGGAGTGGTAAAATTTCTTGTAAGCTGCTGGGTCTCACCTAAGCTCAGCTCAGTTAATCCCCATGGCAAGGTGACTTGGGAGAAAGCCTGTTCTGAACATCTTGGGGATGCCTATCCTTGACACACTATCCTTGAAGTCTAGACAAGTATTTTCAGCTGGGAGCGGCTACTTCTACTCAGTAAATTGCTGTTGTTCTTTTAAGACCTAGATCAAATTTTGCTTTGTTCCTGAAACTATCCCTGTCAAATGCAAAGTCTGCTACTTCCCATCCCTTTGCCCCCCACACCATGCATGCCTGATGGCGGACACCCGGAGTAGGGTGTGGGCATGTATAAGTGGGTACACCTGGGCTAAGACTGGGCTTGTAATGCGGCGTCACGGGGACGCCAGCAGATGCAGAGAAGAAGAGAGAAGAACCACAAGAGCAGCAGAGACCACCAGAGAACACCTGAGAGCCCAGATAGAGTGAAGACTTGCTGGGGGCTGGGAGGCCTGCCAGCCTCCCAGCACCCACCCCCCCCCACCCCCCCCCCCCCCCCGTGGCACCTCTGCCTGCTGTGCACCTGGTAAATCCCAATAATAAGCCTGCAAAAGCCACCGAGGGCTCGAGGATTCACTCCTCTATCCGTTTGCTCGGATCATAGAGATCCTTGCTGGGGACCAGCCTCCGGCAAAATGTCGTGTCAGGGGTTCCTGAAAGGATGAGACGGCCTAGGTGACACATTAGGGGCTGAAGGGAAGGGGATTGAGGAGACACTGATACTGGATGGGATGCAAAAATCTTCTGCCGAGAGACTCAGCAGGTCTTTATTTATTCATTTTTAGTAATCAGAAAAATTACATCATCATGTGCAAAGTAGAAACAATTAGTGTATTTTATTCCCATGGACTACTGGCTCCTATGGGTCTCAGCTAGACAGTAGCCTTCAAGGTTAATAGATAAAAAACCAAACCTAACACTAAAACTTATTATTTCAGCTAGACAATTAACTAAGACAGTTGATAGCCACCAGTACATCCCTATCAGCTAAAGCCTAAGCATCAAAAGACTCTTCTATTCATATGGCCTTCAGCCGGAGACCAGCTGCTACTCAGCTATCAGAACTTTTTCTGCCTAGAAACTTCTTAACACAGTTAACTTCATATAAAAACTTTCCTAAGAAACTTCAAAAAAAAGCAAAAGAAGGACTTACTATAATAGTTGTGCTGGATTGCTTGTCAGGCATGTACAATAAATTGTCTCCCATTGTCAAGTGGGCCAAATTGTTTAATAACTAATTTCTAAACAGATAATTTTCCGTGCCATTTATTTGCAGTATACTGATGCATATAATTTATTGCCTAATGTACTTTTTGGGAAATTTTTCTCTTTTTATGACCAAGAACAAAAAATAAAGGGATGTTAGATCTTCAGCCCCACGGTGTGAGGCACAGGAATCTTCAGCCCTACGGTGTGAGGCCCTTTAGCTTAGCTGCTTGCCAGTGTCTTATCTGGCTGGGGCATCAAGGCCCCCTGCAGCAGATCCTGCTCTGTGTCCTCCTGCCCTTACAGGCTCCCTCACTGGGATCTGCTATCCTCTGAGGACAGGGATGTTTCTAATCAATCATTGTTTCTTGGATGCCTGGCACAGAACTTGGTAAATGGCAGTTATGTTGGTTGAGTGACATTTTACTAACTTGCTGGAAGCAGCTCTTAAAATACCAGATTTGTATTCCTTAGCCTGCTTTTGGCACAGCTTCCCAACAGAAGCAAGCAGCATGAATTAAAGTCCTTCCCACTTGCTTCTTCCTGCCAGTCTTCCCATTTATTTCATCTTTGTCTTCCAAAGTAGCTTTCATTTTGGTTTTTGAGTACATGTCAGTGTAATATATTCAGAAAATATGTATGTTCACTCAGGTGAAGGTCCTTGCAAGGTACACTGGGGAAGTGCCTTCACTGAGCCTGCACCAAATCCCTGCTGTCGAGGAGTTTATATTCTGCTGGGGGGAGGAAGCACTATAGCCCTCCAGAAACAGTGCCCTATCATGAGATGAAATTCTGTCAGGAGCTTTAGAAGCAGGAAAGCTTGCATGTTAAGGATGTGGGAAAGGAGAGTTGGGGGCGGGGAATGTGAAAGGAGAAGCGTTTGAGTTCTGGATAGAGTCTGATGGGTAAAAATTCAAAAGTGCATTCTTGATGGAGATCAAACCCATTGGAGGCACAGAACATGTGCTCAGGGAAAAGGGCCTTATACAGTGTGGCCAGTGTGGAGGGGTATTTGTGAGGAAGCTGTGGGAGATGGATATGCAAAGGTAGCTGGGACCATATTATAAAGAATGTTGAATTTCGGATTGAAGAGCTTGGGCCAGAAGGCAGTAGGGAATGCATTGAATATTTTTGTTCAGAAGACCAGTAGGATCAGACTTGTCCCTCAGGAAGGTTGATCTAAATGTAACTCATCGGGGCCTCCCCGGTGGCGCAGCGGTTGAGCGCTGGGTTGCGAAACTGCCCGGCCTCTGTGGCGCCGGTTCAATCCCCGGCTGCTCCCCGGCCACCGGAGGAGGGTCCCACATGGCGTGCAGACCTCTCCTGCCGCCCGCTGCTCCCCTCAGCAGTGTACTTTGGTCCTTCTGCCTGCTCTGCTCCCCGCTCTGGCTCTGGTGGATTCTCTCGCCCTCCTGCGCTTCTGACTGTACCCAGTGCTTGTATAAATAAATAAACAAACAAATAAATAAAACATGCCTCTATTAAAAAAAAATTCTTAAATGTAACTCATCGACTGAACTGTAGGTGAGGAAACCCAGAAGCAGTGTGTTTTGTTCACTAAGGCAAGAAATGAGTTGGCATTTGGTGGGATTGAGGAAGGAAGGGAGCTAGATAACAGATATGCTTAAATCTTGGACTCTATGGGGAAGGCTCTTTTTTTTTTTTTTAGTGTATTTCACAAGAACCTGTGAAATTCTTAGAAGTGAGGCTCTTTTGGATCAAAATTTTCTTATAAATCCAGTTATTTAAAGAAGTGGACATTAATATCCTGAGGAGTAAAATGACACACCACATGGCTCAGTTCCTAGTATAAGATTCTGTCTATCCTCAGGGACATGAAATATATTCACATCTTCTCCACATAGCCCCGTACTCTTGAATTATTTACTATACTGGTCTCTACTCCTAGATCCTGGAGTAGAAAACCAAAAGAAACATAGAGTTAAATTCCTTATAATCACACTAGTAGGAATAACCAAGGGAAAAAAGTAATTTCCATGATCATTGAGTGTATTCCCTGCCTAAGGCATCCTATTTGCATATTCATGTTTCCTTTCCGCCTCACCATCCCCTCCCCCACCTCTGTGGTTTGAGTAGGTTTTATTTTCTCACATAGACAAAGGACTGTTTGCTAAACCAGAATGTTTAGTATCAGACGTCTGTTCTTATCATGGAATGAATGAACCTGGATAACAGGATTCCAGACCAGAATGATATCCCATTTATATACTGTATCAATTTATCTTCTAGAGAAATAATGTCTATATTAGTTTCTTTTTGCTTTTTATAGGTTCAGATGTTAGTTATATATGTATGTGGGTTTTTTTAAGTATAAAGGATAAGGTCTAAAAAAGAAATATGAGCTGAAAGAATTATTTATAGGGAGCTTAAAGATAAAAGATGAGACTCATTCACAAGATTCCATATAAATTTCCAGATAAATGGTGCAGCATAAAAAAGAATAAACCTTCTTATAGTGAAGAAGAATAATAAAACCATTTCCCAAAAAGTCTGGTTTTCAAATTCAGCAAATGTGATCTGAATGACTTTAATTTGGGTGATGGGCAGAATATAAAAGTCAAAGAGACATATACGCTAACCTTCAGCAACCTAATTCCCAGTGGGGGATGACAGAACTAATGGGCCTGCATCTTGTGGGAAGGTGAGAGCACCTGGGAGGAAGAGAACCTCCAGCCAAAGTGCTTCTGGCAGGGGTATGGAACAGCTCTTACTGATATGGGGCCTTAGCAGAGGATCCTGGCACTTCAAATAATTACATCAAGAGATGGGACTCATTCACTTAGTTTGGGCTGGTGTGAACTTTCAAGCGGTGTTTTGAAACAGAAAGGGTAAAAATGAGGGGAAATGAATGGCAAAGATAAGTAGAGCTACAGTACTGATACTTTTAGGCAGCAATGATTCTCAAAACAGATAGAAGGAGCTTGTATCAATTTAATCTTAGAATATTTGAAACTGTCCACCCCAAGAGAAAGTTGTGAAAACTAGATGAAGGAGCCAACTGGACTGTTTCAGGACCCCAAGGGAACTTCAGGCAGAGTCAAAAGCTGGACAGGAAGGCTACGAGAGGGACAAATCCTGCCCAGTGGAGACTCGGCAGTGATGGGGTGATGGGCCTACCAGATTTGTGTGTACCCCAGATGTATTGGACACTAGACATGGAGGTAGCATTGCCTTTTCAGTTTCCACTATTAATGGGGATAGCACTTGCAAAATGATCCCAGGCAGTAACCTCACTGCCTTGGAGCCCAGGCCCAGCTGGACATGTGCACTGTCTCACCCAGGAGGTTGACTGAAGGAGCAGCCAGTTCAGGCAGGACCTGCCAAGACACAGCCAATTTTGTATATTACTTCTCTTAACAGCCCAAACCATTTTCCTTATTGTGAAATCGATGCTCTATCCCTGTGCAGCTGGATATTGGTATAGTTTTTAGGACAGAAATTTTTAATACATATCAAAAGCCTTTGAAGTCATGATAGCTTTTGACCAATTGTGTAGTGGCTGGAAGTCTAACTTATTAATTTTAAAAATCATAAATAAAGTAAAAATTTTATATGCAAAGATATTCATTATAGTATTCTATAAAATCAGGGAGAATTGAAATAACCAAAAGTCAACAGTAGAAGAGGGAGTAAACAAATTATGGAATAGGCTTTGATGAAATGTTATATAGTGTTATATCATTAATAATAACTAGTGAAAAATTCATAATATATCCTGTAACATGTTAAATAACTGCAAAAGCAGCTATGAAGACACCTTTCCCAAATTCCATTTGAGACTTTGGTGGACATGTGTGAAAGAGATAGCATTCAAAAGAAGCTAAAGTAACATATACTCGGTACCTGCTTACTGCTAAGAGCATTTGTATTTGATTATCAAGTTATGGTAATTTCTTCATTTTAAAAAACTGCCTCAGAGAACTTTTCTAATGTGCCCCAGATAAAGGAGTAGGTGCAGTTCTCAGACTGTTTTATCTGACCTGGAAGCCCAAACTCCCTCTGCTCTACTCTGCCCCGTCAACCAACTTTGAAAATTAGTGGAATTTTGACCTCATAATTAGAGTTGATGATTAATATTATGCAGAACAGACAGCTTTACAGAATGAATGAGGTTTAACATGATCATATTTTGCTTTGTATTTCCTTTTTTCTTTAAATGAGAAATGTGAGACAGTATCCTCATAATATATGCCATATTTTAAATAAATATATATAATGTAGTAATTAAAGGGATGGATGAGAGAAGTGCTATAATGAGATGTAGTGTATATAAAGAAACATGAATTTAAGAGAGCTTTCAGTTGAAATTGTAAGTGCAAACAGAACAGATTAAAAAGGATGAATCTTTTAAAATGTCCAGAGGGGAGCAAAAGCACAGGTCATTCCCTAAAGGGAAGGAGGAAGAGATGGAGCATTTGGGTTCCTTTGCTAAAAACAGTGAAGGGGACACCACCCTCTCACCAGGGGTGTAGGCTGGAGAACAGAGTTCAGCCCTCCCTAGAGATTGAACTCGGTGACCTGGAGTTTTTTCAGTTTTATCTGTTGTTGTGATCCTCTGGGGAAAGGATGTTGCCTCAAAGGACCTTCTGCTTTCTTTTATTCCATAGCTGCAAAGCCCAGAGAAACCTGAATTCCTTCTTCGCTATTGTGATGGGTCTCAACACTGCTTCTGTCAGCAGACTGTCACAAACATGGGAGGTGAGCCTCGGGGGTCCCCACAGAGAGGGCATGGGGTGAATGGGGGGTGGGGTGGATGAAACTAAAAGGAAATATTCCAGGAAAAAGCATGTATTTAAAATAAATTAATTTAAGTGGGGTAAGTACTACTAAAAACGTGTTAGAAATTAATGTGTTGAGTGGGTAGAAACTATTCTGATCAAATGGTCTTCAAAGTGGTTCTTCAATATATACAGAAGAGATAAGATTTGTAAAATACTCCCCAACTAGAAGTAATCTGCTCTGCTCCTGTGATATGTGGCTTCAGTTCTATGTGGTTCCTCTCAAAAGCTCACTTGTGTGCTAATGTGTGTCCAGAAGTACATCCAATATGATTTTAAGGAATTTAAACTCTTGGACCTCTTACTGCAAGGCCTCTGGCAGTATGTTCACAGGGATTATGTGTATTTTGGTAAAATTTACTAAGTAGTTATTTTATGTTCTGTTTTTAAGAGGGCCTACAAAATATTTCAGGCTTCAGGCCTCCCAAATCCTGCCTCTGCCTCTTCAGCATTGTATGATGGAGGCTCCCTGGGGTCCCAGATGGAGAGCCCCACACAAGTTAGCACAAGTTCTGAGACACAGGCTCTCAGGGTCTATGTGGTAAAAACTGAAACTGAGGTGTCCCTAAATTTCATCAGACTCAAATCTAGGGGCTCTCTACCTCTCCCAGGGCCCCATCACCTTCTTTCCTTGGGCTTTTATTTCTTTGACTCTCCTCTTCCTATGTATTGACTGACGACTTCACATGCCTACCTTCTCCCTCATCCTTTCTCTTTAACCATCAGGCCTCCCCCTATGACTGTCACCTCCTCATTGCTGGCCACTGTAGCCTCTCTCTAGTCTCCTAGATTCAGCTCCTGTCACTGCTCCATTCTTTTCATAGTTCCCTACAACAGAGAAACTGATAGTTTGGTTATTTTTCATATTTTGTATTTCAGCATAGGTCTCAGGGCAACTTACGGATTCACTTTTTTTGAGTCAGGGGCCATACTCTGATGGTATGCACCGTGGTGACCTGAGGGTCAGGGTCAGTATGCTTCTTGAAAAGGGATCCAAAAGAAAAGAAATAAAAGGCCTGCCTGCTCTGGTTAAGCAAACAAGATACACACGCACATCAGAAGATTAAAGGAGATGGGGCAACAAATGCCACAATCGATCAGAGCAAGGAGAAAACAAATGGCTAACAAGGGCCAGGGGAGAGTGGAATTTGAATTAAACCTAGAGAGAAGCTCTGATTTGCAAAACTTGGAAGGAGAAATAATGTACTTTAAACAGCATGCATTTTATGTGCATATTAACACCTACTATGTGCAGGGCACTGTATCAGTGCCATGTCAGGCAACTTAAGAACAGAATATGCTGGGCCTCCCCGGTGGCGCAGCGGTTGAGCGCTCGGTTGCGAAGCTGCCTGCAACCTCTGTGGTACCGGTTCGATCCCCGGCTGCTCCCCGGCCTCCGGAGGAGGGTCCCACATGGCGCGCAGACCTCTCCTGCCGCCCGCTGCTCCCCTCAGCAGTGTACTTCGGTCCTTCTGCCTGTTCTGCTCCCCGCTCTGGCTCTGGTGAATTCTCTCACCCTCCCGCGCTTCTGACTGTACCCAGTGCATGTATAAACAAAACAAACAAACAAAATAAATAAATAAAGCATGCCTCTATTAAAAAAAAAAAGAACAGAATATGCTCTGATGAAGAGCATCTTGAACCACATCCAATTAGATCACAGAGGAGCAAGCACAAGGACACTTTCTGCCTCAGAGTAGCTTAGATGACAATGAAGAAAAGCCCTGCGCTGTAGAGCCTTTCTTGGAGGTTGAGCCCAGAAGCTGCTTAGGGGAGTTGGGTTGGGTATCCCAGATGGAGGGAAGCACAGAATAGCTAGGCCTGGTGATAAAGATCACGCTGTCCCAAATAGGTAATATAGGAAAAGAAGTAGATCTGAGCAACTGGTGCAGAGGTTAGCAAACTTTTTGTGTAAAGGGCCCGATAGTAAATAAGTAAGTTTAGACTGTGACTCAACTCTGCCATTGCAGTGCAAGAGCAGCCATAGCTATCAAGCTCTCGCCAGCCACTGTAGCACGAGTTCGATCCCCGGCCAGGGAGCTACCACATGGCGCAGCAGACCTCTCCTGACTCTCCCGCTGCTCCCCTTAGCAGTGTATTTCAGTAGATCCACCTGTTCTGTTCCCTACTCTGTCTCTGGTGAATCTTCTCATACTTCCCCGCCACCCTCCGCACCTCTAGCCTGGACCCCAGTTCTTGTATGTATAAATAAATAAAAATAAATCTTAAAAAAAAAGTAGACAGTAAACTGGATTTGGCTTGTGACTGACCCCTCCAGTAGATCAGTTTGGCTTTAAATGTATTGAGTTTGAGATGCCCCTGGGAAATTTATTTGTAATGTCCTACAGACTGACATATGCAGCTCAGAAGAACAAATGGGAATCGGTAGCTGTTACCTATGTTTTATCTTTTTTCATTCAATTTTGTCTTCCATATATTAATATGTGTGTCTGTAGATATGACAGAGTTTCCAAACAGATGAAACTACCCGTTTGCTGCGATGAATTGGGTCCAGATTCCAAATTACAGACTGAAAATCTATTTCTAAGTAATTGAAGGATCTAATTATTAGGGAGTTTGCCTTGTTTTCTTGATTTGTTTTGGAAACAGAAAATTCCACAAAAATCTTCTCATTTCTCACTAACACTATTGCCATTAGTGTTAATAGCTAGGATTTGTTAAGCACCAGCCATGGACTGTATACTTTCCTTAAATTGTCTCCATATGAATCAAAGAGATTAGGTCTCATACCAAATCACACAACTAGAAAGGAGCAAGAGTCAGGATCCAATTTCATGTAACTGATTACTATTTCATTACAAAGGCTTAACTTAACCATGTTAAAGGCAGGCTAAAAAATTCGGGGCCCTACTTCCATGGGCCTGAATTTTCACTTGGTAGGACACCATATATTTCTGTATTCTGTCATTTTACACACCACCTGTTGGTGTAGCTGATCTTTACAGTTCAGTGCTTCCACCCATTAAAGTGCAGACCTCATCATTTAGGGTTTCACGGCCTTTCATTATTTAGCCCTCTGCTGTGAAACATAATTATATCATTTGTGCCCCCCATAATGTCAGCCAACATTATTATTTCTCATTTAGCAAGACTATAAGAAGATGAGAGCATTTGTCAAAGCTAGGACCTGGAACTGACATCCAAGTGTTTATTGAATAGTCACCAGTGTGTGGAAAGTCTAACCAGCTAGATTCCTGAATTATGTGGCTGATATTTATTTTAACTGTTTTTAGCAACATTCCTCAGGAATGTCACATTAAGGGTGATGAAAATTGCATAATGAGACGCAATCAGGGTGGAGCAAGATGATGGAGGCATTTATGATCAGAAATGGGATGCCTGTAAGCACAACTTAATGAAAACTCCCCTTGCCTCTCAAAATAACCAACTGCTTTGATCTTTCTTTTTTGTTTTTGTTTGTTTGCTTCTTTTTTAGAAAATCCCTGGAAAATTTAAGAAACTTTTCTCTGAACTTGAAAGTTTAACGGTAAGTAGCTGAAGCTAAGGGGACTTATTCTTCAAATTAAGTGCTAATGTTGAATTTTCCCTCTAGATTTTCAGTGGTCAGTATCTACACTCCACCATGTCAGGGATCTTAACCTAGTTCACTTGGTTATGAAGAGTAGCTTTGTTTCCTTTAAAGTGAAGCAAGTTGACACTTAATGGTTCTTTCTCTCCATGGTAAAAGGTAGTGAGATTGGTCCTTTTGATATGACTTGCAGAAGGCAGATATTTTAGTCCTTTTCAAATCACTATTTAATGACCATAATTTTAGTGTACAATCAGTATCTTATGTCTTTTTTCTTTCTACAATTAGGTTTAGATACAAAAATGTATCATTTCTTCTCAGAGCACGATAAAATAGTCTTCGCTTGTTTTTTCTGTATCGTCTGTGAATTATGAGGACAGTATTCTTTGCTGTATACTTAACAAAAGATGTTGGGGGCTACCTCAAGTTGAAAATTATGCAGAATAAACTGTACTAAAGAACCTATTTGAAGAAAATAATAGGACAATCAAAAGGTGCCTGACTTTCAGAGTCATTTCCCTTTATTGTAAACCAATAATTTGACTTTCATTCATTGCCTAAACTTCCCGCCCTCATTTAGTGAGTTAATTCTCCTAGGAAACCTTTATCTACTTCATTCTTAGGAAGAACCTCTATATCTGCGTCATGTTCAAATTGTGTAGCAAAAGTAAATTTAGAATTGTTTCTATAGCACATTGATTTCTCATTCTCTTTGTAATCTGCTTGGTTGGCAGGATCCTTCCCTGAACCACAAAGCCTACAGAGATGCTTTCAAAAAGATGAAGCCACCAAAAATCCCTTTCATGCCCTTACTGCTTAAAGGTAATGATTTTCTGTACTCTCTGTGCTACATAATTCTATCTTCTAGAAATGTATTACTCTCTCTATAGAGGGCAAGAAAAGGACTCCAAGTTTACGTATTTAAAGTAATTTTGACATCCAGAGGTAACTATATTTGCATGTGATTGTTTTTCAACTTCTCACTTTCTTCGGAGATACTTAATTTTATTTGAGCAGACTTTAAAGCTCTTGACTCAACAAAACTTGGCACTAGAAACTTTTGTGTTTTTATTGTACTTTAGTTCTAAGTGCCATCTTATTTTCTTTGCGTCTACAATCCAACTAATTAACCGAGGATAAGACTGGCACAAAGAACCCGAGTATGATCAGTCATGTTCCACCTTTGCAATCTAAGTTTCAGAGACATAGCCCACAGTCTACTATTGTGTAAGAAATACCTTTGGTTAACACAAGCAATATACTCCACAAAGTACATTAGTAGAGAATGTACTTTATTCTTTCTTGAAAGGGAATCCAGTTAGGATAATATTTGACAACTCCAAGTTATTCCACTAACCTTTCTTTCATAGAGCACCAAATAATTTACAATGAAATATGTTAGTGAAATCTCAGTGGTCTCTTTCAAATGAAGGGCTTGAATGGAAAAGTAGTTGTCTTTAATTTGGTCTGTGCTTCTGACATTCAGTATATATCTCATCCTTGTGCTTTCTAGGGAAAGGGAACTTGGGCATTTTCCTTAGCCATGTTTTCATTCCTTCAGAGGGATTTTGTAGGAATACTAATTCATCCAGCTTCCACCCTTCAGAGGCTTGTAACTTCTGCTGTTCAGGCCCCAGAGACTGCATCTAGAAGTGGGATTCTAGACATGAGTTGCCTGGAAACTGGACTGCTGGTCCATCCGTCTGTCCTTTTCCCCTGTCTGCCTCCATTGCCAGCCCCACTGGCAATAAAGCTGACATCCTCTCTTCAGCTCTTCTCACAATTAGAGCCTGGAGAATTATTGTGAGTTGCTACGTATCCCTGCAGCTGCTCATTTGTCTTCATCTAGAATAAAGCAAGAGTATCTGTGAAACAAAAATGCACCAGGACAACTGAGAGACACACAGAATGTTTCATTCAAGTTGGAAAAAAATCTGTTAAATGTAAATGGATGAAAGGAGGAGAGATTGTAATGCCAAAATGACGATGTAAAAGTTCATTTGATTTTTCATATTATTATTTACTTTTAAGATAAGTTTATTCAGGCTTATGATTTTTATTTGCAAAATAAAACACCTTCAAGTAGACAGTGAGGGTGGCAGGTGGGAAGTAACTCTTAGAATCATTTAGTCACAAGAAGGAAATGAGGACAGGTCTGGGAAAGGAATTTATTTTAGGTCAAAATAATTTTGAAATAATAAATATTTTAAGGTAATGAGAAATTACTTGACAGTGTCCCTTGAACTTAATTAGATATGAGCATAGCTTTCTGATATATATTAGTTGTTGTCCCAAAAAATTATTTAATGCAGTCAAGTGTCTCACACTTACATCTTAGCTTGGATGCAATTTTCTGCTCTGTTGAATTTATCTAGACCTCTTTGTTGGCAGCAAAACAAATTTCCTTTTTTTCTACTGAAAGTACATTCACTCATTTGCTCTAGTAAATTAAAGTTGTTTTTTCCATTAGGAAGCTTCTTGAGTTTAAGCACTTAATTTTCCTTTATTTTAATTTTTGACATCATAGAAGTAAACATCATTAGTACTCTGTTGTATTTAACGTTACCTTTTTTGTGTGTCTGAAATAATTTTCAAAGGAAATAAAATGAAGGAATTTAAAATAAAATTTTTAATTTTAAAATATCCTTCCTGCAATAAGAAATTTTGGGGGAAAACAGGGAACATTCTTCGGTTTTATAATTGCAAAGTTATTTTCAAAGTTTCAATAAACTGCTTTAGAGCAATCAACATTTTTTTATTTAAATATTTTATTTTATATAATTCTTACATCTTTTTTCACCTTTGCACAATGTATGCATTTTCATTTTGGTTATATTCCCCATAAAATTGCACCCCCCCCCTTATTTTGACTCTAGTCCTTCCTTTCCCCGCCCCTCCCTCCCCCCTCAACTCCCTTGTAGTGTGTCTCTGGTTTATAGTTGCTTGTTGATTTTGATTTTTACTTTGTATTGATTAGTCTTTTTCCTGGTCTCTTATTTAGGTTTTCTAAATTCCTGCTATTAGTGAGACCATCCGGTATTTTTCTTTTTCTTTCTGACTTAGAGCAATCAACATTTTAACAAAACTCTTCCTCTCTCCCCCTTTAGCCACCTATTTTATGTTTTGTTAGCTAGAGAAAAAGGACCAAATTGAATGCCTTGGGTGTTAAGAAAGATTAGACATCCCATGTTTCATGTTTTGAGATAGTTCCCAGTTGGAATTCAGATCAAATCAGCACACAACCTGAGCATCCTTCCAGCCATAAGTTTTTCTGTCTCCCAATTGAATTTTTTAGCTTTTGATTTGTGTTTCCCTTATTTTGTGATGTGGAACCCAGTTCAGGGCATGACGAATGGAAACCCTAAGGAAGTATTAGGAAAGGATCCAGCTGAGCTAAAGGTCGGAAGCAGCTGAAGAATCTATTTCTTGTAGTAGTTTTGGAGATGGTTGTCCTTTTAACAGGCGTCTGAAAATAAACTGACATCCTTCTTGTAGGTTGAGTATGCATATCTTAGAGTAGATATTATTGTTTCAGATTTGTGGGCATATTTAAGTAAAAGGAATGTAGGGTGCTTGTATGTTTCTTCCTCCTTATTCACTTGCAATATCTGCAAATAGACACCCAGCAGTTCTGCTATATCAGGTGTTCGGAAGATGTTCAGGTATCTCCAGCTGAGAGGGGTCTCTTAGATGCTCATTTGCCACACAGAACCTGGTGGGTGCCCTGAAACTACTTCACAGCCTGTGACTTAATTTCAGCGGTCCTACTCTTTGAGCTCAACCACTTATTTCTTTCTTGCTGTCACTTATTCATCATCACACACCTGCTGTTAAACTGCATCAAAACCATCAGCCTCGTGAACCCCCTTCTTTTGGACTAGAGTCTCTTCTGGCCGTATCCTCGTGCCTGCACCTACCTAACAGCTCCCATCCTCCGTCAAGGAGTCACATGCATCTACTGACCTGGACAAGTCTCTGACAGTTGGGATAAAGAGAGATAACCAGGAAGAGGAGAGATCTAAGGCCAGAGGGAACAGAACAAGGGAAACAGAACAACAGATTAAGGGAAACACTTAAAAGTTACAGGGGCACCAAATATGCCATAAATGAACCAGTTGACTTTAATGGGCTGTAACCAGAGTCTGCGTCCTTTCAACTTGAGGTACCAGAGGTGCACAGCGGTGAACTTGCTCCTGGGCTTGAATCCTAGTTCTGACTAGCCACGTTGTGATTATGGACCCAGCTGTGTGTGTTCTTTGGACCATAACATCTTCACATTCTCTCCCCCTGAAGTTTTACCAAATATATATATATATTTTTTTTTTAATTTATTTATAGTCTCTTGTGAGGATCAAATGATTGCATGCAGTGTCTACTGTTATTCATAATGTAAAGTGTCATTGTCAGCACCTTCATTGTAATCCTTGCAAACTGAGGAAGAGGATGGCAAACTCTGTAACACTGGTGAAATGGGCCAGGTGACTCTGAAACAAAATTTGTAATCTGAATTCTCAGGGAGTTAGGACAGGCTAGGCTTTTAAGTGGTGTTTAATGTAGACAGAGTTCACACAGTGCTTTATTTGCTGTGCCAAAAAGGTAAAAGCTAATTGTGTTCACTATTCTTTTCTAAATATTGTCACAGAGTGAAAACTTGCAATTCTTTTCTAAAAGCAAAATCATGAAAGCTACTTAAATAACCAGAGTTTGTTGTACAACTGGGTAATTAATTGTGAATTGTTTTCCTGCTAGGACATCAGTTTTTAAAAAGCTCACAATAATGTTTTAGTCCCTGTGGGAAACTGTGAGATTTGCTTGGGGAAGTGTGGTATCAGTGTGTGTGATAACTGTGACTGCTGGTGCCCCCTGGTGTGCTGTCAAAGCTTGGCAGTGCAGTGTTGGAAAGCGGGTCTCTGCTGCACCTATCTTACAGTTGTCCCATAGGGATCAGCAGAATTAAAGAGTTAATCAAATGTAAATGTTTTCCCTTCCTGTTTTTTAGGAAACTTAAGCTATTCTTTACTCTCTTTTATATCAGGTTATTTTAACAAGATTTTTGAAAATTATTTTCGTATGGTTTACCTTCCATATCTGTGCTATAACATGCTCATTAAATTGTAGTACATTTTGTGTTTTAATTCTTATCTGTGAGGCGTTTCTGATGCTCATTGAACCTCTAATCTGAGTTTTTATCAGTCATCCACTGTAAGAGCTTCAGCTGCTATATTTATTGTAACCAACTCCCAGATCCCTATCTTGAGGGGTACTCTTGTTTATAGCAGCTAAAAGGAAAGTTTTATTTGTCTTCTGTCACTTTAAATACAGGGTCTTCCTTCCTACCTGAAAATATACCTTCATCCTACTTAGGTTATTTTTACCAATAGTGCTTTCTTTCTACTGATCAAATAGAACCATGAACCTTGCCATCTTCAAACCTGTCCCTTTCCTCACTCATTTTTCATATACAATCAGATATTGACTTTAAGAACCAAAAATCTGAACTTAAACATCTAAATCTCTGCATTTTAAGTAAAGAAGGCCGCATACACTTTGCCAGGGATTGTTAAAAAGCAAACACATAAATATGAAAATCTGTTGTTTCTGACTATTCAGTTGTTTTCTGCTCAGCCTTCTGGCCTAAAAACATAATGACCAATTAAATCCTGGAATAGCATTAGCTTATAGTAAACAGGAAGAAGTCAAACACTTTGTTGTAAGTGCAAAGCACACACTTGCATTAATGTTACAGTGTTTTCTCTACACGCACAGATATAAATTATACCCTTTCACATCGAATACCACAGAGAGTCCAATTCAAATTGCCTTGTCAGATGCATGGAATAATCCATAATGTTTCAGAAAAATTAATAAGTTGTATTGTATCCAGACCTCTTCGACCCCAGCTCATGATCCACTCCCTATCTTATATATATCTTTTTGTTTTTAATTTTCAGATGTAACATTTATTCATGAAGGAAATAAAACATTCTTGGATAATCTTGTCAATTTTGAAAAGCTGGTATGTAAATTCCATTATTTCTCCTATTCCCCACTATAAGAGAAATGTGTGCTTTTTGTTGCTGCATCAGGAGACAGATGGTTTAAGTACTTTGCTCCTTGAATGCATGGGGTTTCCATGCACTGCTGCATGTTGTGCATTGTCAATAAAGTGTATTCCAACCTCAGTGTGTTAGCAAGGCTTGAGAACCAAATATGGATATTGGCCTTTTTTTTATATGAAACTTCATTAGATTAATATCAGTGGTTAAATATATATTATTGAACCAGAAATAAAACTGTAAGATTCCTGTCACAATGGTTTCACAATTGTGACATTAAATTTTACTCCTTTAAAGGGCTCTCTCTGTGTCTCGGTGTGTGCTGCTACCGAGGGCCAGAGAGAGCTCTCACTCTGGGAAGGTAAGTACATCTCCAGGTACTCCCAGCCTGGATATGAATCTGGAATTTGTAGGGTCTGCATATGTGAGGAAGGACCAGGCTTTATCAATCTGCAGACAAATGGTTCCACTTCTGAGCACAGTACAAAATGTTCTCTGCATCCGTGAGTAAGATAACCCCATCAGTTCTTTCCTGCCAGGTACTGAAATGCCTTTCCTGAATTTCGACCAGGAGTTTCTCAAGGGAATCAGTCATGCAACGGGCTGCTCCTAGCCTTTCTGACTGACTGTACTTATAAGGACTGAACAGCTGTAAAATAGAAGTGTTCAAAATACTGTTGACTAGGAGAGGAATGGATTTGACTGACAGATGAAATTTGGTGTCAGAGATTAGACTGTCCTTTATGGTTAAAGATGAAACCATTGACCCCTGCCCAAAGAGCCTGTCTTTTGAATGGCCTTCTCAGTAATGGTACTGGATTTATGTGGACTATTTCAGGAACTGGTCCCTGGTTCCCTGTGAGGTTGGAGCAAGCATTTAAGTGCCACAAACTGATGAGTCCCGACCAGGCTTGGCATCTGCTCTTTGCCTCATAAAATATCCTGCTCTAACTGCCAAGTTCGGATTAGGCAGCAAAGGACTCATGTAATCAACTTCTGTACAACTCAAAAACCCAGCACCTGGAAAATGGAAGATACTATGGAATATCTTGCCATTGCTGCATGATAATCATTTCAGAATGATTACTTCATGGCACTTATTTTTTAAATTGAATATGTCTGTACCTTCTCAAATCTCATACTGCACTAAATACTTTAAGTATTATTGTAAAACTTAAAGTTAAAAAAATAGAATATTTGAGATACCATGGCTAAACCAATATAACCAGAAATAGATAAAGTGTTGGTCTTTTGTATTTATTCTTTAGAGATTTATTCTGTTTTGCTGTGATGATCTGAAAACCACAGAGCACCTACATGCAACCAGAGGCTGAGGGCACTAAGGTTCTAGTGTCTTGACAGGTTAAGCTCGTGTTTGGTGTCAATGAAATGGTTGCAGGAGTATGAAGGTTTTGGTCAATATTTGCTTCACCTTCTGGGCAACATCTCTGGTTCTGAATACCAAATGAGCTTTGGAGAGCATATGTGAAGAGGTTGGATGAGGTGTGTCACTCCAAGTGAAATTCCCTAGAAAGTTCTGGTAACTTTCCCTATGACTAACCTAGGGGGACAGGAGAGAACAATTGATTTCCTATAATTTGACTGTTATCTATTGTTAGTGCAAACTTGTGCTTGACCTTCTCCCTAAATTGAACCGCTGACTTGGTTTAGTGCATTGTGTCATTTCCCCTCAGATAGTGCTACCAAAGTGAGAGAACAATTCCATAAAGGCACATATGAGAACAAGCTATGGGAAGCGTCCTATACCCCTTCTCTCTTTCATTCTGACCAGCATCTCTGGTCCCCCCTGCTTTCTCCAACATCCTGAGGAAGCCTTTTAATGCCAGCTATTATAGTCTAGGGTCTTGCTTTCATATGTGTTCAGACTTCAAACTAACCCTAGGAGCTGAAACAAAGAAAGTCTGAATAATAATCCTTCTGTTAAGGTCAGTAATTATCTATACTCATAATCTTTAAGAAAGTTTAAGAAAATAGAATGGCATGAATAATATTCTATCAAAAATTTTTCATTACTAAGACAATTTTTTTCAAAAGATAGCCAGACAATAAGTGCAGTTACGCAGCCCACAGCCGGCCGTTGCATGCACACATCATACCCGTGCTGATGTACACACTCCCATGCTCATCAGGTGCTTGCTAGCACATCAGTTCTAAAGACAGCAGATTTTGTGTATTAGTAACTTCCTGGTCCCCTAAGCTCAGGGCTCATAGTATACCTCATGCTGATTCCCTGCTTGCATGGAGAAGACAGGGTAAAGTTAGAATTTTTTTCTAGAAAGACAAAAATTAATGTAATCACCTCACATAAGCCTGTGTTATACTTGGATGCCAGAGAAGAAACAATTTCCTAGTGCTGTCAGTATTTTCAAGGAGTGTTTAACAGCAGAGGACAGGGTTTCACTTAAGCTAAAACAGGATCATCTTTCACAATAATGAACCAATAGAACCTAAATGAATTAACTTGTGAGAAGCCAATTCCTCATGATGGATATTAGCTCAAGCCAGCTAGCAGATAATTCAGTGCATTATCTTTATCTGGCTGATACAGACCAACACATTAAGTCAGATGATGCAGAGACCCAGTAGCGCTCATTGGATCTAATAAGATTTCCATTGTTCCCTGTGCTGCCTCAGCAACTCTAAATGTTTCCTTTTCAAACTGTTAAAGAATGAAGAACTAAATGCTTTCTCTTTTTCTTCTCCTCGTCCCTGAATAGTAAAAGCATCACTTTTACCATATCTTCCTCTTTCTTAAAGATGAAGATCAGGATTCAGGTTTCAGTGTCGCAGTCAGTCCCGTGCCTTGCAAGAGCTACGCAAATGGCCCATGATAGAAATCAGCCTGACGCCGTGACCTAAAATGATGAGAGAGCTGTCCTGGGAATAGTGGGAAATTTGGGGGAAGGAAATACAACAATACAATCACAGACACGAGTCAGTTCTCATTTCCTTTACAAATGCAGCACAAGCTACAGCTCTAATCACTGTCCTATTTAATTTGCCACTATCAAGTAGAAATACTTTAGCAATAAAATTGTGAGAGCAGTTTCATAAGTAGGTCATATTCATATAATGTTTCTGCTATTGTGCTGGATTTCAAGTAAAAAAAATGTCTTCATGTTAACATTATTCTTCTAGCAGTAATTCGGTGAGGTTTGCTGTGTGTAGATGATCCTATGTTAAGGCAGGATATTGCAGGTGGTGGCCCAGCTAGGGAGGCATGAAAGACCCAATAATGAATAATGTTGATTCTTGAACAATAGGATGATGTTCACATTTTGATATGAAACAATGTAGGAAGCTAGAACATAACAACAACAGTGTTAGAGATTATTCTGGCAACTGTCTAAGAAACTCTGATAGAAAATGGACTCATCCTAAATCCCATCTTTCCTTTGCTGTGGAAACTGAAGTGTTGAAACTGGAAAATCTGGTACAAGTACATAGGTGTGAGGTGATGAGAGATTGTCAAAAGCAACTTTATGTTTTAAGACTCTTCCTAGAGATCAATGAAAACTTTAAGGAAATCAATCAACATTTAATACTGAATACAATAGGAAAGAATGTAAGTTATAAGCAGAGAATAGTCTTTTAAAGATACTGATGTTTTTGAAAATATGTGGCTTTCATAAATATCTCATTTCTTGTCACCACTTGAGATATCACAAAAGTTCCTACCTCTGTTCACCAAGCATGTCTGAGTCTCTGTGTGTAACTCGTGGTAGGTGCTGAGCAAGCAAAGCCCTCCGTGCTACCCTGGCTGGTGGAAGGGAAAAGTTCCATAGTAATTAGCACAACACGGAGCTAAGGTATAGTGTACAAAAAATGGGAATGTTGAGAAAGGAGCCTCCCAAGTACAAAATGCCATCTCAGAAAGGTGTCATGAAGAGGAGAAACATCCCCTGAAGTGAAAAGCATAAGCAAATTTGGTCAAGTGGCTTGGGGGTGGGTGTGCTAGTTTCTCTACACTGTTTTTTCCCACAACTCTGTTAGTGTCTGTGCAGCCATGCTTGGGAGCCACAGATAAGAGCTAAATATCCTTTTGTAATCCAAGCTCAATATAATCAGTTCAAGGTAGGTCTAGCTACAATATAGCTCTTCTGTTTACTCACAGAGGTGTTAGACTCTGCCCCGTCTTAGCAGGCACCTCTATGTCAGCAACACCATAAATGGCCCTTCCAGTGATATGGTTCTTGTTCTGTTTTCCAGCATATGATTGCAGACACTGTCCGAACCCTGAGACACTGCAGGACTAACCAGTTTGGTGAGTAATTGAAGTTGGGTATGGAAGTAAATGCACTATATGTGGATATAGACTGTGACTCTATCACAAGTATTTGGTGGTAATAAATTAAAGAGTGTAAAATATAATATGCATAGTTTACCTGTACTGCATCCTCTCTTTGTTTCATCACTGCATGTTTGGGATGCAGAAGATAAGATGTGGCAGCTTTTTATCCTCTTAGGCAGCAGGTTCACACTGTACAGAGTGACTTTGGACTCTAGAAGGTTATACTGGTCTGGCTGCCTTGGTCAGAAGCACTCCTACCCCTGACCCAGAAAGTTTCATTTGTTTGTCCCTGGGCTCTGAATTACAGTTGTTTTCTCGTGGTCACCCATCCTTCTTGCTTGGGGTCTTCTTGGGATAGGAATCTAGTTTGAAAGTGCCTAAAGCAGCCTTCGAGATTCTTCCCTCCCTTCCAACAAAACTTCCTCTCTGTAGCTGCCTTTCACTGAAAATATCTTCTGAGCACTTTTGTAGACTCCCCACTGTGACTGATAGATGTAGGACTATTTGCTCCTTTTTAAATCTCAGGCAAAATTTATACTGTATTTAAATGGTGTTAAAACATTGCAGGAAGGAAGGAAGGAAATCAGCTTTATGGAGTCAAGTTGCTTTCACAGGGCAAAGGAATCCTGGTATCAGAGGCAAAGGAAATATTTACCCTGTGGGTGCAGAGCAGAAAACTGAGGCTCAAGAGGTTAACTCACACCACCACTATCCAAAAGTGGCCCCCACTATCCAAAAGTAGAGTGTTCCTATGAAACCCTTTGTAAGCTGGAATCAACCTAAAGCAAAGAAGCCACTACCATTAATTTATATGGAAAAATTTGTGAATGTTCTCAGAATCAAAAAGTTACCTACCGGGCCTCCCCTGGTGGCAAGCGGTTGAGCGCTGGGCTGTGAAGCTGCCCACAGCCTCTGTGGAACCGGTTTGATCCCCTGGCCACCAGTGAGGGTCCCACATGGTGCGACAGACCTCTCCTGCCATGCCTGCTGCTCCCCTCAGCAGTGTATTTTGTCAGACTGTCTGTTCTGTTCCCCACTCTGGCTCTGGTGAATCCTCTCACCCTCCCGCACTTCTGACTGTACCCAGTGCTTGTATAAATAAATAAATAAATCTTTTTTAAAAAAAGAAAGTTACCTACCAAGTTATACCAAATAATACATAAAACCTAAAGTAACATTAACATATAAGAAAAGCAGGAATGCAATGATAAACACACAGACTGTATGAAGTCACTCTGGGGAGGAGCTTGGCCTCACCTCCTGGGATGCCCCCCCACACCCTAGTCTCTAAAACAACTCCTGCAGAGCTGCTGCAGAATGCTATTTTCATTTTTTACCTTTGTCCCTAAAGGTGAAAATTCTCTTTGGCTCTCTTATGGTTATGGAAAGCAGGTACCAACATAGATCTCTCATAAAAGTGAAGTGGCATAAAGAAAACTTCGGAAAAGCAGGGAGAATGCCTATATTCAGACACAATCTACCTAACTTCCTGGCCCATACCTTTCCTTTGCTTGGCAGATTCTATAGGATATAAAGGGCTTTAAAAAATAGAAAGTTGAATTAAATAATTGTAAATCAGTGGTGACCACTAAGTAAAATGTAAGGTAATACACTTCTTGCTGTAAAATAATTTCTTTCAACAATTCAGAAGTATATGTAAACCAGCAATATCAAAGCCCACCTCCCAAAGAAAATACTAGTAAAACTTGGTGCATAGTTTTAAGAAATTTCTTATGTCTTTGCTGGTGTTGGCTATCAATATTGTCCCCTAGCAAAGTAACTGAGCCTCTATATGTATTGCAAAGTTTCTGTTTGAAAGAGAATGCATATTTTAAATATGCATGTCAATTAATACCATTTAAAATGTGCTTATATAAGTTTCCTTTAGTTTCACAAGTACTATACAGTTATGAGAGAAATAACACTAACATCATGGAGATATATTCAAATGTACAAGCATAATATTGCTGATGAGTAATGGTTTCATATTTCTTTCATCTTCCTTTGCTTCTCAAGTTTTTATGAGTACTCACTAATTCTAAAGAATCAGTCTCACTATCAAGGAACTGTGGTTTAAATACACTACAAGTATGTACAGAAATTTCTATTGGCTTAATTGACCCTGCCTTGAACCTCCCACCAAAAGGGAATAGGTCTGCAGACCACAAAGCAAAAGAGAAATTAAATACCTATTAAGGCACTGTGTGTACTGTTGTATGTATCTTTAAAAATCCGTTTAGCGACTGAATTCTTTAAATTCATTTTGACAGTTTATGTATATTTCGGCATAATAAATCATTATCACCATTTGGGATATAATAAGATAATGCTAACCAAGCCACTGATAAATGCCATGCAGGTGTCACTTTTCATGGTTCAACCCATTTATTCTGCCATTTATTTAAGTCTGGGTATTAACAACAAAATTATCTTTGCAGAATCTCTTGTCTAAGCCAATAGTTACTAAACCAAAAGCAGTCTCTTATTGTCTTCCAAGGGAGGTATTCTAGAATACAGCTTTTGAGTCACTTCCAAACAAATGGGGATGGTAAAACCTTTAACTCTTGATACTTATACTTGTTGAAACCAGGAGGCCTTATTTCTATTAAAGCTAAGAATTACAAACCACCCATGACATACAGGTCTTAAATTATTTCCTGACAAAAAGGATTTGTCAGAGAAGCTAAAAACAGATTTTCACCAAGAAAAAAAAATAACTGCATTAAAGTGCCCAGCCTCCTGCTGGCCCATTCCTTCTGCTCAAGCTGAACTCAACTCATACCCTGCTTTCTTCTACCTGAAATTTCAAGAAGCAAAAGGACATGATGTCACCATCAGTCACATTGTCCAGGATGCTTTATCTCTGGTTCCTTATACCTGTGACCAGTGTTCACAGAGCAGTAAAGCCTTTTGTGGCCCTTCAATTCTTTAACCATCCTGGATTTGAGAGTGGAAAACCCCCTTGCCTCATCCTTCACTGGCCAGATGTTCCCATCCACACAATCTCTGAACCTGCTTTGCCCATTAACCATACATGAAATTCAGTGCTGTGGAATCCATTCAATTGTTCCTCAACTTCTTTCCCCAAAAATGACACCAAAGGAATATACAAAATCTGAAAAACAAAGAACCCACTATTTTGTCTATGTACTTACCAGATTAACTGTGATTTCTGACAAGTCCAGATTGAGAAATGAGTCAATGAAAACCATGTAAAACTTTCAGTTGCTGGCCTGCTCAGTGGTGCAGCGGATTGAGCGCAGTGTTGTGAAGCTGTCCACAGCCTCCGCAACGTAGGTTCGATTCCTGGCCGGCCAGGGAGATACCCACATGACGAGGCAGACTTCTTCTGTCGCCCCTGCCTCTCCCCTCAGCAGTATATTTTGGTCCCTGTTCTCCCTGCTCTGTCTCTGGTGAATCCTCTAACCTTCCCGCACCTCTGGCCTGTACCCCAGCCCTTGTATAAAAATAAATAATCTTTATAAAAAATAAAACATTCAATTGCTATAACCGGCTGCATAGCACTGGAGCTCTGACCAAGGACCCAGAGCCCTGTGCTGGATTCCAGACCTACTCTGCCACATTTGCTGTGTGCCTGTGCTATCTCTGCCACATTTGCTGTGTGCCTGTGCTATCTCCCATTCTGTTAAGGGGGAATGACAGCAATTGCTAATACTCTATAATGTTAGATAATTAACACTATTTAAATGTTTGTGAAACAAATCCCTTGCCAGTCTAATTACCTAACCCGAAGAATCTACTCTTGAGCTGAGAAAGCATCTTCACAGTTAGGATAAAGCTATCCCTTCTAGAATCCTGACTTGTGCTGTCTCCCTGGTAGATTTATTCTACACCTTAACATGAGGTTTTCCTGGTATTTAGAATTAGGGTTACTGCTCTCATGAGATTGACTGTCTTTTTTCCTCCAAAAAAATAGGAGGTGACATGTCTCCAAAAGAACACCAAGAGTTAAAATCCTACGTTAATCACCTGTACGTGATTGACAACCAGCAGGCCCTGTTTGAGCTCTCACACAGGATCGAGCCTCGAGCGTGAGCCCTACCATCCACCTCACCACCTCACCTCCCCTGTAACTGCAGCACTTTGAGCTACGGGAATGTCAATGCCAAGCACGGTGCTTTCCTGTGAGAAAAGAAGTTTCTGAGTTTTATCAGTAGATTGCAAGACATATACAGGAAAGCCACCCAACGCGTGCTCAGGAGGGGATGCCAGCCACCGAAGACGGGGAGAGGCCTCTCCACAATGCTCTTACAACAAGAAGGCAGAGGAAGAGTCAGGAGCATTTTTGAAATGGAGAAGACTGATTTCTTATGGTCACACTGTTGATCCAGTCCAGTGGATGTGCAGTGACAAGACAAGAGATGTCTAGTGACAAGGCAAGAGACACTGTATTTCAGTAAGAGTGTGTGTGAAACCAGCCAGTTCGACTTTGCCTGTCAGATTACAGTTGACCGATTGTCAAAGAAGTAGTTCATTTGAACACCCAAGGAGAGTGATGGCATCTCTAGATTTCCAGGGAGTGGAAGAGGTCTCTGTTGATACAAACTAAGATATCACCAAAAGCCGCTTGTTTCAAGGGAGCTAGTAAGGACCAGCAGCTGGCATCCCTGCTGTGATTTCCAGAAGAAAAATGTCAAGGCATGCATTCCTTTGCATCCACAATCATTTATCGATGTATGCTTGCAGGTGAAATTCGTTTCTGCACAACTGATTTGCTACTAAGCAAGTTAGACTAAATTGCTTTGCCAATAAGGAAAAATAGTAATCTTTAAGAAATGAACTCATTTAGTTTCTGGGGATTTCCTTTACAGGTACAAGCAGGCTCTCATCTCTTACTGGGAACAATATGATTTTCAAAAAAGCACAGTGCCTGATACATTGTTGGCACTCAGTAACTATTTATTGAGGTGGCAGAGCCAAAAAGGTCTGCATTCTTGTGCCTGATAATGCCCTAGTGTTTTGCATGCCTTGGACAGGCTTGTTTTGCCCATGCTGTGAAATAAGAACAGCCAGCACAGGGAGGCTAAGTGGGATTTGATGTATGAAATCCTTAGAACTCCCTAGAGAAAATCAAGGTATTAATATAGTGGTGATTGTCCATTTTTCAGATGAAAAGCCCCAAAATATCCAAGTGGCTGATTTATGCTGGATGTGTAAAAATCCTGCTGTCCATCTCCCCACCACAACAGTGGGTCTTTCTATAATTTGTCTTTTCCCCCCTCCAAAGTCCATTTTTATTAATTGGGGCTCCTACAATAAATTAAACCTCTTGCTAGTCTCAAGGACTGATTAGAAGATGAAGATTTCCCTCAACTTACAAATGAAAAAAAAAGCCTGCAGGCCACAATGTGATACCCTCCTCCTCCTGCCAACTAGATATTTGTCACATTGCTGAAATCCAGAGGCCTGGCTTCATGTAGTAGGCCCCTCCATTTCCTGCACATGTGGACCCTGTGCCCTTCTCACCACACCTGCCTGCTCATCTCTCAGACGCCCACCCAGAACTGCTTCCTTTTTTGTCTCATCCACATCTTATTACTGAGATGTGTGTGATGCTTTCTGACACCTTTGTAGCTGTGCTTTTGCCTCGCCTCATGAGCCACATGGTGAGAGATCACTGGAAGGAATCACGTGGAGAAAACTTGGAATAAGACTTTCAAAGACTCACTTTGTCCCAGCGTGCAAAACTTCAGTCCTGAAAATTAACAGGGTTTTATATTATAAAAAAAGCACCATCCAGGACTGGTCCACTCAGAAATACCCAGGCTGCTGGATGTGGGAGAGAGCAGAGCCGATCAGAAGCAAGGAAAACTGACTCCTCTCTCTCAGGCTGATCAAATCCAAACCAGGAACAGCTCTTCCCCGGGGCAATTGCTGGGGAAGAGCACATGTTTTGTGGGGCACATGTTTTGTCTTCTCTCAATTCTAGGGGGTAGCATTTAACCGGCCTTGCCATGAAAGGCTATAGTGACATGATGTCTCTGTTTGGCAATTTAAATATTTTTTCACATTAGATCTACATTGCTCCAACTAAACGTATTTCAGTTGCTCCCATGGAGAACTGTTTCTCCATAGCATCCAATTCATATATGTACACAGCCAAACAAAACCAAACACACGTCGCATCAAGACATGCTTTGAACAGTGTGGTCAGAGTGTGGGTAAAAGCAGGCTCCAGAGATGGTGCCTGGCCACCGTTGCCTCCAGCCACGGTCATGGAACTCTCAGCAGCCAAGAGACAGGGATTTTGCTTAGTTTATATTTGCTTTTTCATCCCTGCCTTCTGAATGTCAAAATCCCCAAATCTTTCTGAAATTTACCAGCTGTCTCGAGAGATTTCCCAGACAGCAGTTCTAAGAAAATTCAACAATTTTGAGAAGACTTAAATCTGGAGTAAAAGAATTCAAGGCAGAAATGTGGGAACCAGATTTAGCTGAACACAAAGCTAAGGAATCTGAACTGCCCAATAATGAACGCACCGTGGGCCATCAGTGACCCTTCAGTCATTACTTACCCTGCCATGAGCTGGGTCATATTCTCTCTCCAAATATTGCTAAGGCCTCTTTGGAGTGGGTTTTGTTTTGGCTGAAAGGGTGGACCAGAAGACATGTAAGCTTCTTCCCAGCATTCAGAAAATCCCCTGTAATGCCACCTCGCCAGCAAGTAGCACACAGGCTCTTGGAAGTGCGCTCTTTTCACTGTAGCACAAGGCTCAGGCAGTCCTGCTTGTCTTTCTTTGGTTTATCAGCATTCCAGCAAACCAGACCTGCTTAGCAATCAACATAGGACAAGTTACTGTGCATTTTGTAGACAAAATGCAACCCTGCTAAATTTTAATCTCCCATATACATTTTCAGATGCTCCCAAAGCTATGGTGTTTTAAATTCATTTTTCATTACAATCCGTATAGTTGCCAAATAGTTGTAATGATAAATATCATGGCCTACATTCACTTTATTCTAGTATCACTAATTGGAGTTAGGATAAATCCATTTTCCTAGACCCCTGCCCACCAGCAGGTCAGCAGGAGCATACATTGCATTCGGAAGCAAGGGAAGAAAGGAAAATCTCACCACCACCCCCACGTTCATAGGGAGAAGATGCTGCACCAGTGCAAACTGGCCTCCCAGCTGTGCAAAGAGGAAAATGCTGGTGACTTCTAGTCCCTGGATCTGAGCTCTTGCTGCTGCCCCAGCTCCAGCCCTGTCATTTGATTACAGGCCTCACAGACACCACAAATCCCAAACTTAGTGTTCCACATGCAGAGATCCCACGCTTCTCCGAAACTAGACAAAAACTTTAAAATGGGGAAAAGCAGACCCACTGAAGTTGTCTACCATGGATCTTCTTTTAAATGCTTCAAAGACATGTCCTTAAAATTTCAGCCTGCTTATTAACAAGTAGGCCATTTGCGCTGAAAACTGGTAGAGGAAAAAAGTTTCTAAAAATTGCCAAAAAGTTAGATGAAAAGTACTACTGTATAAAGCAAAGCTGTATATACTAAACGTTTTTTAGCAGAGTAATATTTATTTGCATAGCCTATTTATTGTATTCGTATTACACTGTTATTAAATACTGGGATGAAATCAACAACCTGAAGCAAGGCCTTCTTGCCTTTAATGTGTCATTAATTGGGGCTGCTGTGACATTGTCAGCTTGCATTAACAATTAGAAGACAGAAAACCCGCAATCAGGGTGTCTACCTAATTCTCAGGGACTACACTTCGTAGTTTTCCACCATTATAAGAGCTGGTAAATATGAAACCTTTGTTGAATTACCAGAATTGCCATTAACAGTGTTTTCTCTATCATATTTCATGCTTTCTGCCTCTGTACATATGACAGTGCTGTGTATTTATCGACGCTAGTAAGCAATAATTTATATGTAAAAATGGCCAAGCAATATAAGGTGAAAACTTACATAAGTCACTGTTACCGTACCTTGTATTTTCAAGTGTTTTTTTAAAAACTGCTTTTCCAAATATAAGATTATGTCAAAGATACTACGCCTGCCTCTTAGCCTCCTGCTTCGCTTTGGCGTGTGTAGGCTGCATCGCCTGCATCCCCGCAGCATGTTGTGCACAGTTGCTTGGAGCTCAGAAGTCACTTGCTGAGAGCTACAAGTGCAGGAGAGAGCCTCTGGCAGCCCCTGGAAGTTGTCACTTGAGGCGCAACAGATCTAAACACCCACGCTGAAAAGCACATCAGTGTTCTCACATTCTGAATTTGGGGATTCCAGTCACCCTTGTGACCCATGCCCTCCTGGAGTAGGTTCTGGGGCCACATTCCTTACCAGCCCACATACTGAGGGCAGCTCCCAGCCCGGGTGCGACACCCTGGACTTTGAAGAGAGGCCCTGCCTGGAGAAGTGAGTAGACTCACTGTTCACTAAGTGGACTGTGTCATCCTCCTGACCTCCTCCACCTGCCCCTAGGGGAGGACTTATGTCCTGCCCGCTGATCCTAATCGTGGTCTTTGCCATGTGGCAATCCTCCCCACATGAGACTTCTGTATCCCATCAGGTTAAGCTCACGTGTAGCCAAATATCTGGCTCTATCCAATGAAAATGGAGGGGGGAAGTGACCTATGCACCTTGTAATCCAAAGCTTTACCGGGTAGGCTATACCTGCCCTGTCTCTGCTGAGAGACCTGCAGTGTTCCAGTAAAGGTGCCCCCTCTATCTGGGTGTCCAGCGTATGCAGGACACATTTCTTGAATGAGAACTGAAACAACCTTGTTAGAAACCACTAAGACTTGGGAGTTGTTTGTTACCTCAGCATAATTTAGCCTAAGTTGACAAATAATCTCCCAGGAATGATAAACTTGATGAACGCCCTTTTCCTTGGTCTGTGTGGGGGCAGTTATATCAATACCTAATGGAGGACAGCACAGCCATGCAAGAGGCTTGTCTTTATATGGGAAAAGGTCAAGAAGATAGGATGATTTTCTTGGACTCAGTTTTCAGGAAGTGACATTTTTGTGAAATAAGGGAAAACAGGAAGAGAGAGCAAACAGGGGTCATTGCCTTGAGAACAGACAGTGGGGAGCAGAGAGAGGAGGACCACCATCCCTATTGATTTTGTCATGGTCCCATAAGCACTTGGCCCTTGGGAAAGGATCGCAGAGGAAGGAGAATGGAAGCCCTCGCCTCCAGTTTCCGAAGGGAATGGAGAAGAAAGGAAACTCTCAGTACTCAGACAACTTGGGGTCTTCTGCATTGGGTGGCCTCTACTGAGATGCGTGAGGGTCCCTCAAACTCAAATGAGCAAACCTCAGGATGAACTGTATGTTCCTGACCTTCATGCACTTTCTACAAAATCCTGTTCCAGGGATCGAGACCCCATGTCAGGTATGGTTCTCCCTTGTCTCAGGTCTTCTGGGTCCCTGATGAGCCACTCTATTTGCTTCTACTCACTACTCCAGAAAATACTCCTCAAGCAAATAATTGCTCATGTAAGGTGATCTTGTTTCTGAAGGCAGGACAAAAATCTCTCACTTACAAAGACACAGCCAGCTCCTCCCAGAACAAGAGCAGAGCAGACCTGCTGTATAATGTGGTCTGAGGACCATGCAAGGCCCAGGATCCCTGCCCCAGCCACCCGCTGAGCTGGTCAATTTTCATATCTCCATTTTATTTCTCTTATGGAGACTTGGTGTTTACTCAGAAGGAACTTTGTCTACTTCTTACCCTACTACATCTCCTTATTTGCATCCCTTTCCTTGGGCCAGAGGCGAGGGGTCTCCCATGGTTGGGTCAGCGTTCCCCTGTGGCAATTTTCAGGACATTACTGCCACAAGGTTACTTCACTCTTCATGCGCAGTCACCACTGCCATAGCCCTCTGGGTCCACTGATTCACCCATTCTAGAGGTGAGGGTAGTTCTGGATCCTCTTCTTCCTGCACTTGCACTTGCACAGCCATGATGGTGATGGGGGAGCTGCCTAGCCACACCATGTCACCATTCCACTTCTGCTGAAACCATACCACCTTGAAGATCTCAACAGGCTGGAACTTATCCCATAGGAAGTGAAGGACAAGACCCCTATTGTGGACAACCCCCAATGTCTCAGACTTCCTAACATCCCAGGTTTTCAACAGGGAAGTGGGGAGGATGGACAATGCCAGGCACCCCTGACAGACTGGGCTTTTCTTCTCCCAAGACGACTCTTCAGCAGTCCCAGCCACCAAGCCCTGTGTGCCTGAGATGCTCTGTGGGAAGTGGAATTGTTACAGGGCAACCCCGATATAAAATGGGTTGCCTGATGGTGGGTCCTCACCCACGCGCTTAAAGGGGACTTAAACTGCAGGCACACACTAAAAGTTAACACAGGTTTACTTACAGGGGAAAGGGAAATGAGGAAATGTACAACTCAGGGAGAAAAGAAGGAGATAAATTCTTAAATGTGTCCTACCCATTCTGCCGACCTGGAATCCCAAATGACCTGCCTGGCCAAGAGCACGAGCCAAGTGCCCAAGACCCCACTAACAAGACTGGTTTTTATTTACAAACAGAGAAAATGGCTGCTCAATTCCGCCCTTAGGTCCTCGCAACTTCCCTTTGGGGAATCATGGGATTTGTAGTTCGCAGTGTCTTGATGGAGTGGGGGTGGCATCCACAAAACCTGTATGGAGTTTGCTCAGGACATCCTTCTCCCCTAACAGAATAGAGGCTTGGAGTTTCCCACATCGTCTGTACATGGTCGCATTTCTAGTTAGAGCTTGAGTGAAAACAATCACACTCTGGCAAAATCCCTGCAGATATCATCTTATTCTTGTCCTGACCAAAACTATATAAATATATATATATATACTGCAGCAGAGAAGTTAAAGTCTCCAAAGCAGTTAGCCCACATGAGAGACTTGAGGCAGTGGCAAGATCTTTCCCAAGTTCTACAGCAGTGGGCCTCGGGTATCTCCTAAATCAAGTCCCTCTCCCAGGGAGCACCTTCTACAGGAGCAATGCCACCAGCCAGCCCTCCAAGCCAGAGAGCTATCTCCCCACCCCAATACCCCTTGTTCATCAAGTCCACCAGCTGCTCCCACCCCACTTCCATCTATGAATTTAGACCCTTGCTGTTCCTTCTCTTCAGTCATTGCAGTAGCCTTCTACCCAGTCCCCCTACTGCTAGTCTAAATTTCTCCCCATGTAATCTCCAAACTGTCCTCAATTTTTTTTTGCTAAAACACAAATCTGATCATGTTTTACTTCAGTTAAAAAAAAAAAAATCCTTCAGTAAGTGCCTCCCAGGCTGTAAAAACAAACCTCAGTGGCATTCAAGTTCTTCACATTCCAGCCTCCATTTACCTGTCCAGGGCCAAGGCGGTCAGGCAGGTGTCCCCAGGAGAATCTTATCTGGAGGTTAATCGATTCCTACTAATGGAAAACATTTGCTAAGTAACTGTGAGCCTTATTTGCTCTTTTTGAGGTGTTCAGTCTTGAAGCCAGACTGATGAGAATACACAGCTCTGTGTGTGTGCGAGTAGGGCAGAGGAGACCAGGCCTCCAGAATTGCCTGAGGTTAGTGAGGGCTTTCCTGTGGCCAGAGGCATGCAGACAGCCCTGCGCCTGCTATAAGGCAGTGGCCAGACAAGGGCTGTGCGGGACACCTCGGGTTCCCTTCCAACCCCTGGAAGAAAGCAGGTGTAGATCTGTGATTGCCAGAGTTAATTAGTTTAGTTTTGTTTTTCTAAGGAAGTGACTTGGTTGGTGTGGGAATAAGAACTGTTCGTGCTCCTTTGTATTTAGCTGACCCAGGCTTGGCCTCAGCGCTGGAAGGGAAAAAGGCAGTGGGAGGGGCCGGAAAGGATACCTCACCCCTTCCCTGTCCTGTGCCCGATGCTGACTCCACAGTCCTGCCAGGGTGGGATGCCTGTGATAAACAGCCGAATAAAGATCCCTGGAATGGGGAAGGCAGGGCCTGCCTCCAAGTACCCAGCCTGCTGCTCCCTCCCAAGGGTCAGCTGTTGGCCAGCTGTCACTGTGTGCTGGCTCCAACCATCTGGCCGCACCAAGACAGGTCTCCGCAGCTCCCTGCCTGCATCCAGCCCTCGGGTCCGGCCAATCTCTTCTCAGCCCCCAGGACCTTGTTCCTACCTACTAAGCAAGTCTCATCCACCCCAAAGCCGTCCTGGATGACCCAACTGAACTCTTACGCCTCCATGAATTCCTACAGCAGGTCCCACCCTTTACTCTTTGGGGAGCCACCCTGCCTTGTCTTGCTTCCCAGCCATCATGGGCTGCCTGGATGGTGAGAAAGAGAGTAAACAGTTTAGCCTCTGAGCAGATTGGGCTCAGGCATTTAAGAGCAAGAATTGGTGAATCTTTCCACCTTCATCTTAGCAGCTGCTTAGCACCTCATAAAACAGGGCTTAAAATGCTTACTACCTTACAGGGTTGTATGAGCAAATCGCATAAGAGGCTTAGTATAATGCCTGCCTCATAGTAGGCATAACTAATGATGATGTTGATGATGATGGTGATGATGGTGTTGATGGTGGTGGCGGCTATGGTAATGAATCCTGCAATCATGCCAGAAGCTTTGCACCAACATTCCTACTCCACTGTGGGTGAGTTACTTAACTTCTCTTATCAGTTCACTCAGTTGTCAAACAAGATAAGTAGTAACCTCTTTGCACCAGGCATTCTCAGAAGCAATTGGGCCATGTGCACAAAAGTGCTTTCTCCGGCCCTGCCACAGTGAGATACGAATAAGAAATTTTCTTTGAATCCCCAGAACACAGCCACAGCTCCTCAAGGTCTGCTCATCAATCTAAGCAGCCATCTGCATATAGCTTGCTGGGGTGATACTGGTGTTGGAATCAACATTAATATGGGAAGCAAAAAGGCTGGTCAGACCCTGAGCCTGTTCACGTCTTCCCATCTGGAGCTGCAACCTCTGTGAAGCCCCAGTGAAGCTCCCAGGGGGGCTTTTCCTTACCCTGCCACCCCTTTCCCTCTTACCCCACTGCCTGACTAGGGCCCAGAACTCCCTGGCAGCCAGGCAGCAGCTCCACCCCACAAGCTTGTGCTTCCTAATGGTAACATGGAAGCATAATTTTTAAAAAAAATTTGGGGGGGGGGCGGGCGGTGAATGATTTGTAATATAGAATTCTATAACCATTAGCCATTGACAAAATTTTTAAATAGATTATAAATCTTTTGGAGGGCTAGTAATCATAGAATTACTTCTCATGCACTGACTCTTATAGTCTTGACATTGTATTCCATTGAAATAAGCAAATGGTCCTCCCCCAGATGTAAAAACAGTGCCTCTGCTTCCTCATCTGTGAAATAAATGAGCATTGAATTTATTCATATATGTAGTATAATTTGACTGGAATTTACCTGTGCTAGATATTTGAAATGATAATGCTGTAGACTCTGGCTTTTGAACCAAAGCAGGAAAATGATCGCAGGAATCTGACAGAGGAAATCAAGATCAGATTTTAAAAAGCAGATGAAAGATTAATGAGCATCATAATTTCTGACTGAGAGCAGGGTGAGTGCTCGTTGTACTGTAGTTGTGCCTTCTGAGACACAACTGAGGTTGGGGGAAATTTTCTCTGGTGTTATTTAGAAGTCAGTCGATGCAATCACTAGAGGGCTGACCCTAGACTCTTCCCTGGGCTGAGAAGTTCCCTTTGTGAGACAGAAGTGAAGGAAAGGCTGGAAGAAAGAAAGGGCTGCTCATTCTGGGCCTCAGGTTACATTGCCTGGTGTTTTTCTTTCTTAAATCAACCAGTCATCAATAGAGGCGATCAAGTTAAAATAAGTCCTCATAGGGTGGGCCATCTGGCATCACTGCGGTCCTTATAAGTACACTAAGTTTGGAGACACACACAGGGAGACAAACAGTGGATAAAACATGGATGAAACATCTAATCCTCCCCTCCACCCCCAGAAGGGGTGAACCCTGCTGACACCTTAATTTCGGACTCCTAGCCTCCAGAGCTGTGAGACAATGCATCTCTGTTTCAGCGACCCAGATGGTGGGACTTTATTATGGCAGCTCTAGCAAACTAACAGAGCCTTGCTGGGAAGACCTGAGGGGAGGAAAAGCCAATCATGCAAATATCAGAGAAGAGCATCCCAGGCAGAGAGACCCTCAAGTGCAAAGTCCCTGAAGGTGCACTGGGAGTTTCTGGGCCCATAATGAGCCTGCGTGTCTGCAGACAGTCCGCAAGGTGAAAGGAGAGGCGGCAGATGTCACAGAGCCTGGGTGTTTCTCTAATGCAGAGGAAGGTTTGGGGCAGAGAATGACATGATTTGAGTTGTGTTTCAACATCACTCTGGTTGCTGATCAAAGGACCAAGGGGGAAGCAGGAAACTTATTAGAATAAATGCAAAAAGACACCATGTGGTTTCCTCCAGATGGTGGCAGTGGCCTGGTGTGGTGTATAGTAATTTTGGAAGGTCAACCTGAGAGCCTTTGCTGGTGGATTGGATATAGAGAAAGAAGAATTAAGGTGATTTTCAGTGGAGAAACTGAAATAATGAGATTCCCACTAACTGGAAGGAAAAAGACCTTGGAGGTAGCAGGTTTGAGAGAGACTGGTTAGCTCAATTTGGGATGTGTTAGATTTGAGATGTCTAGAAACATTCACCGGAGTTTCTTTACACCAGCTCTGGCCTGTGTGCTAGACACCCTGGACCTTCAGCCCCATCCATTTCTTGGGTTTTCACCAGGGTCAAAGCCAGAATGTGGTGCAGAGTAGACTTCAAAGCACAGAACACCGGTGAACACTGGACACTTCCTCTGTGAACCACATCTTCCTCTTGGGTCTCACATAGTTGTCTCCTTCAGGCTTTCCTTCCCAGGAGAGATGCAGTGATCTGAGCTGTCATTTTGTCATCACGGACTCTGGAGGCAGCAGCTGGCGCAGATGAAACGCAGCTGCTCCAACACCCACAGTAAGATGCCTTCGAATCGAACTTTTTAAAAAAGTGGCCCCAGACTTTTCACTCAAACTTTACATGGCACAGCCAGAGACCCACTTTATCCTACATGAGTAGGGACCTTCTTTTTATTTTTAATCTTGCGAGCGAGGAATTTTTTACCGACAAAGTACTTCGAATCAGGTGCTCCGTGAGTGTTTGTGCACTTGAACGACGCCTTGACCGCTGTCGCGACCAAAGTGTGAGACGTTCGCGCCCTCTTGTGGGCGTGTGGGCATCCCGGGCGGGATTTCGGTCTCACCTAGAGATAAAGCGCGTTCTGAGGGCCCTAAATCACCGGACCCAAGGGGACCCTGCTAGAAGCTGCCGGCGCGCTGAGAGGCAAGGCTTTATCGCTCCTTCTTAGAGGGTCGCCGCTCAGAGGGGGCTTTTTTTCTTTTTAATAAATTTTATTTTTATATTCCCCATACAATTGCAACCCCCTTATTTT